CGAGATCAACGGGACACTCAAAATATATGAAGAAACAAACATTGCCAAGCTTGAGAAATATAATTAAAGTATTACAAATGATAAAATTAAAGAAAAAAAAGAAATTTTTATTGCATTGGAAACAGTTTAACCCTTATGAAAAAAACATCAGATTAAACAGTCAGTCTTTTAAATTAACAATTAGTGCCTTGCAGGTAAACTTCTCAAAGAGACTGAATTCGTTTGAAAAACTGTCTACACTAACTCAAGCCATTCAGTTAAGGTGTACTCCGAAAGTAGATATAGATGATTCAAACAAGTTAGCGTTAATTAAACGTGCTGCTAACGATGTTCGTTAATAGAAATGTAAATTGTGACGGTTTACAACTTGTTTCGAGTTCACACTTCCCTTTTAGTACAATGTGATCATGGCGCATCAAATATGGGCTTTTTTATGTCACTGCGCAAGGATTTTGAGTGTGGGTGTATGTTTGAATTACGTTTGATAGATGGCGTGTGTAAACATCTTGTTTATTAAGTTAGTATTATTTAAATAATACACTTTAACGGTTTAAAACGCGATATATAAGTTAAACTTATTTGAAATTGATTTTTAACCGGCCGGAGTTACAACGTTTTCAAAACTGAACTAATATATCTCGTTTTAAACCGTTAAAGTGTTTTATTTAAATGTGTACTACTCACGTAAACTATAGACAGTATTTAAGTCAGTATTATATAAATATTATAAAACATACAGAAGATATACGCAAATTGTATAAACATTAACGGTGTATAGGTTATCTACTTTTTGCCGACGAGATTGAGGTCATAGCAGTGTGTGGAAGAACACAATGCTCGCAGGCTGTTGCTCGAAGAACAATGTTTCCAAGCAAACCTTTGTATGGACATTGACAAGACGAAAATAATGCCAAACTCCAATGTAGCGCGTACATTATTCTTTTTTTTATGATTGAGGTGGACAGACAAGAAACACCCCATATAACATATAACCGAAACGCGATTACACATCAACATCAGCCCCGTATGCAGCAGCTGGGACTTGGGCTTCCTTAGATATATGTACAAGTAGCTGCAAAGGCGGCTTTGTCCGCGTAGAACGGTCACTTTGGGCATGCAAATTTGGTTTTTCACGACGTCGTTAACGGTCGCCTTAAAAGATACACATACTGTCGCGGATTTTTTTTTAGATCATTTAAAGATTTATTGTTTTATACAAACTACATACTATACTCATAGGTGAATAATTTATCCCGCTTTTTTCAACATTTCTTACTGTGTCTTCGCTACTATTAGTCGCAGCGTGATCGTTTTATACTCTAAGACCTGCCTCAAAAAATTCTCTAGCTAAAACAACTTAAATTCAAACCAATGGTTCCTGAGATTAGCGCGTTTAAATAAACAAACTCTTCAGCTTCATAAGTAGTAGATAGATAGGTACACCAAGGTATAGTAAGACGGCCAGAGCCGCAACGGGAGATTATACAATGTATATGTGATATTATAGTCTAATAGGATGTAGTCAATTTTCTTGTCAGAGAAAACTATTGAGTAAATATCTTTATAAAGTATTACATTATGTATCTGTAGTTTTTAACATCTACACTGTATTTAGTCTGTATATCTCACATTGTCTCTTTCTGTACTATGGTAACTTGTCAATCTTTTATATAGTGATGGCTTCGTACTTTTGTTAATATTAAACGTGTGATACAGAATTCTAACAGAAGTTTTACTAAAAATACTGCATAATCTCAATAAAAACTACATTTTGATGTATGCACCGAGAAGCGAACTCCCAAACTCGCGTTCTATCATTTATTGTTTGATAAATAAAAATTCCATTAGCAAATACAAATTATAACTTTTACATACATTTTACTCATCAGAATAATTAATTGTAACCATTTTTTTTTATTTCATGCCTATATATGTATACCTGTGCTAATTTCCAAAACAAAGGATATATTTGAATTTTTTTTTCAAAAAATTATAACGTAGTCAGGTTGTGTAAGTACAGTAGGTAACTAATATGTTTGTATACTGTGGATTGTTTTGTAAGCCAATAACGACGGTATCAATGTGTATCGAATAAAGCAATGTAGTTCATAATATTTACTTCTTATAAGGGTGCGTGTATATACATGTAACATTATGTAAGTACTGAAATTACAGTGCGCAAGTGGTGCATGGTATATAGTGGTATCAATTGGTTAAGATCCGACAATGACGTGTAGGAGGTAGCTCGTTAGAGTAGCAGCACGGAACGCTGTAGATACCGGTTCAAGGCCTGCCTGCGTCGTAGTTTTTTTCTAAAATCATTTTAATTCAAATAATGTCATAATGTGCAACATATGAAAAATGTGAAAATTTCGAACATAAATTCATTTTAATTTTTTGTTAAAAGCGTTTTATTTCATATGTTTCTAATGGTGGTGGTTCTACATACTCTGTAACAGATGACAATAAACGCCGCTCTAAATTGGAGGGGGAGGAATTATGCAAGAGTACCTATCGGTGCTAAAATTAAGATTTTTAACCTTAACATTCTCGATGCCACATTTTGCTTCAGGGGCGGGGTAAATGTGACAGCATATGACCTTAAAATATAAATCCTGTATTACCAAACATTGTCCGTGACCACCCTAGCCCCTATCCCCACTATCTTTACGAATATTATAAGCTGAAGAATTTGTTGGTTTGAACGCGCTAATCTCAGGAACTACTGGTTCGAAATGAAAAATTATTTTTGTGATGACTAGAGTATTTATCGAGGAAGGCTATAGGCGCTGCGACCAATCGGAGCAAAGAAACAGTTGGTAATGTGAAAAAAAGGGGGTTAATAGTCAACGTTGAGGGTTTCCGTCGCGTGCGCTGCCAAAACCGTTCAAGATACCAAAAAATATGACGAAGAGAATTACACGATTTAAAAAAAATGCTGACCATCATGATTTTAAAAAATGTTTGCGATGATATGTATCGTTTAAGATCTCGCAAAAAGGAAATTTGTAGACTTGAGGAGGTGGTTTGCAAAAACAAATATTGATGCCCAAAATAACTATTCTATGCAGACGAAGTCGAGGATACAGCTAGCTATTTAAATGGATAAACAGATTTTGATAATTTCCAATATGTCTTCAAATGTACATCGAGTGACATTACGTCCTCCGCAAAAGCCAATTAGTTTAAGTCCGGGTATCAAATTGCCACTCATATGCAATGCCTATAAGAAGGTCCGCGTGGGAAGCGACTAATAAGTGTTCAATTGACATTAAATGTTACCAAGTTCTGGGTCCATGTTTTTACCGATGTTATTTTGTCCTATTAATTGGATCGGATTACGATTTGTATGAAGAATCGTGGTTCTAGTCTCGAAAACACGTGTAACTGGAGAATAGAGATTAGTATGCAAGGTAGGTCGTTCAAAATGAGCTTATTCAATTAAAAGTGTTTGGTAACTTTAAAGCTTTTCGCATAGTTAGGCATATGATGGTATTATATAAATTGGAAAATTATTAAGATTGAAAAAAAATTACGACAAGGCGGGACCGGTGTCCGCAGCGTTTCGTGCCGCTGGTCTAACCAATGGATGGATGGGTCAATTTTTTTATTCCAAATAGATTTTTAATGTGTTAAAAGTGTCCTGTTCGAGCTTCGAGGCCAAATCAACTTTTTTTCCCTGTAAGAGTATTTATTATTCCCATAATATTATATAAAGTTGTTCGAACTAATAGACCTTTAGAAAGATGGTTAAATATTTGATTTTAATTTCAATCGAAGTGTTTTACGATATTATAGTGTTAGGTTTTAAGTTCATGAAAACTTATGCATATAACTAAGTTATGCTTTTATTAATATATACAATTCCTTGTCACAAATGTAATCAAGTGTCAACTGCAAGACGCATGAGATTGTATGACAAATGACAAATATTTTACACAAATAGTTTTATCAACAATAGTACATATTAACATTTAATTTAGATTAAAAATTAAATCAAACAGCGTGATCATAACGTATCTTAACGTAAATCGACACAACTTTAAATAAAACACTTTTAACAGTTCTAAAAGTGAAATTGATTAGTTAAATAATCTCTTATTACAAGTATATTTAATTTATGATCACAGCTCTTGCAACAAAATGGTCGAGTCGTCAGGTTAAATAAAAAATCAATCAACACTATGTAAACTACATAATATATTTCGCATATTGAACTCGAAAAAAGTGTTTATACAATACTATGTTGATTTAAGTTTTAACATTTTATGATCATGCTGTTTTATTTAATTTTAAGTTAAATTTAAAATCAATTTTATTATTTAATTTTAATTTGTAGTGGTTTATCTAAGTCAACACACGTTGCAATTACAAATATCTGCAGTTCAAATCTTTAAATAAAGATAATGACCAAAGTTAAGACGATTCCGTATAATATTGTTTTCCATGTTTGACACATCTGTACGTCTATTTAATTAAGTAATTTAAACTTGTAGTGTTTAAACGTATGTTTTTTGACCGAAGATTCGACCACAATTATTAAATTAGGTATGTTTATCGGTATTTGAAATCGAAGCCTCCGAGTTAGTTCTTGGGCTTAGAAGTATTCCTTTGATGCGCGAAAGCTCAAGGAAAAACCTGTATTTTCAAATAAAACACTTTTAACAGTTTAAAACGCAAAGCATTCGAAACGTCTACGGTCTGACGTTTAAAGACTTTGTAAATGTAAAGCGAATTTCACTTTTTTAACCGTTAAGTGTCTTAATTTAAATGAACTACAGACAGTACTTAACCAGTGATTTTAAAAATGAATATACACATATATAAATATAACCTCAATCTTATCGCTGAAACTTAAATAAGAACATCAAGAAATCAATGAGTAATTATTTAACATCTCTATTTACGCTTCGAGACAAACACCCGATAAGAACCAAAGTGTTCAGGCCGGGCTTCTGAATTTCAGTTTACATTACCTCTCCGCGTCGCTTAGTTGAGAAATGCTATTTTTCTACCTTTGCTCCTCGTTTGTGTTGCTGTCCGCTTTTGTTATTCTGAAGAAGATTAAAATTAGACAAAAGGTAAGGGATCCCGCCATCTTGGTAACCGGTAATCGCTTTGTGTGCTCGATCGAAAATATGGTAATTTATGCGCTGGCAGAAGCGGTTTGAACTTGATCTTAAACTCTTAAAGGTTTTAAAGCACGTTTTATCTCACAATAGAATCGTAAAGCGTAAAAATGAAAACTTTTAACAATAAAGATTTTTAGGACAACTCCAGTGAGTTAAGTTCTTATATTGTCAAATAACAAATTTAAACAATAAATATCATTATAATTATGGTTATAATATATTAATATATGGTATTATACCGTTCTTTCTAGAAGGAATTCTTTGATTATTTCGGCGCTATATTCATAAATGGGTCGAGTTACACAGAAAACTAGTGTCTAAAATTTTAAATAATACATACTGCAGTGTCGTAAAAAGTTATTTATCAAGTATACAATACAAAAACAATTACATATGGATAATTATCATACCCTAAATTACATGCGATATAAAATACTGTCTCCAGTTTGCGTGAGTAGTACCTACACATTTAAATAAAATACTTCACGGTTTAAAACGCGATATATTTTTGTTAAACTTGTTTGAAAATTATTTTTAACTACGGGCCGACGTTTCGGATGCTTCGCAGCAGCCGTGTTCACGGGGAGATCACGGCTGCTGCATAATGAATGCACTAATACACAGGGAGAATAATTTTCAAACAAGTTTAACTCAAATATATCGCGTTTTAAACCGTTAAAGTGTTTTATTTAAATGCGTACGTTAATATTTTTGCTACATCGGATTGTGCACATCTAAGTATATAAAAATGTGTATTTGGGAGAACTCCCACTAATTTCACAAAATTCAGTATACAGAATGTTCGAATGAGCGGGACAAGTGTAACATTCCAAGTGGTTCCTGAATAAGGCATTTTATGGAGTGGTTATCGCTAAAATTGCCGAAAAACTATTTGCGCTTATAATGAGAATAAACACTAAGTTTTATACGCCTTCTTGCATTAGAGATAGAGTTCCGAACTCCGATGGGATGTTTCTTTCTTCAGAGAATTTCGTAATATTCTAGATCCAAAAACAAATTAACAAAAATAAAATGAAATAATTAAAAATCGATTTGAGATTTTTTTTAATTACAACACGGGCAGAATTTGATCCGGCTCTGAGAACTCAAAATTCATTTCAGTTCAAAATGGGTGGCTGGTTGAGTTATCTATGGTGGGGCGGTGACCCCGACCTGGTCAACCCCATATCAGGCCTGACCAGAAGAGAAGTGTATGCCGTGCAACAATCCTGGGCCCCTGTTTACGTAGACTCAGTAGCGAATGGGACAGAATTATTAAGAAGGTAATATTTAAATTAAGTCATTTAATTTTAAGAAATTGATATTCTTCAAAATGTTAACGGAATCCGAATAAGAATAAGTTAATATATAATATATATTATATATATGTTAGTGAGCAAATTTACTATAAGTATAATATCAGTATGAAAGCCCCCTTTTCCCCCTCTTAGGGCATGGGACGAACACATTTCTGTGTCCGTTTCACTGATCCGTTCTTTTAACGATTTCAGACATCTGTGCCCTGCCCGCCCGAAACATTTTTTTGTTTCCCTGAGATTCGAACCCAGGAACTCTCGCGCTTAACGCAATGCTTAACATTGGCTACAAAATGCGGTCATTATATATAGTTAGTGAGCAAATTTACTATATATATTAAGTAATACGATTCCACGATGGGCATAAGCTGGACCAAATTCGCTAGAATTGATAGGGTAGACCAAGTAAAAGGTTTTTTTTCGTCAGCATTAAATCGAGCAGTGAAATACGTTTTCTCTAAATAACAAATAGATTTCTTAAAAAAAGGTGCTCACGACCTTAGCGCCATCTATGTTACAAATCACGAACTGTAACATCGTTGTAAATAGTTGTTTAACTCTAGGATTCTCTTGTTTGAAAATCGTTTATCACTAGCACTAGAGAGGAAAATTCTTTCGATACGTTATCAATAAGTTAAGAGTCACTAACATTATAAGTTCTATCTGATAAGTATCACACTCGAACTTCTAACTATTAACTCTGTTTACATTAAGTTGTTTCTGTCGGATATGAGACAGAAACTCACGAGCCTGTAACATGAAGTTAGTGAGTTATAGACATGAAATAAATACCTATAATCTATGTTGTTAAGTCAGCCGTGAAACGTTAATACAAATCAATTTAGCTTCACTTCTTTATGATAGTTAGACAAGCATATAGTTCATTCAATATAGCCAGCCATATAACATCTCAAGGTGCACTGCCGATTTTGGCTTTGATTATTCGGAAATCCGCAGACTGAAACTGAAGCGCGATTAAAGTTGACAGCTTTTTCATATGTATGTGGTTCGTGAAGCCGACGCAATTTCGATATTCCTACCACCTGTTTAATATCCTAATTTCCAGACGAAGTCCAATGTTTCATAAACATTATAAATTGCTTAGAAAATTTGTTGGTGGGGATCGACCCCACGACAGACACGAGCCTAAAACAGCTTGAAATATCAAATCTTACAGATTATTCCAAGCGTACCCAGAGACAAAAGATTTCTTCAAAATGGTGAAGAGATCTTCGGAAGAAGAGTACGCCCACAACCCCCAGTTCAGGGCACACGTTATAAACCTCATGTCGTCGATTAATTTGGCGGTCACGAATCTAAACCAACCGGAAGTGGTAGCCGCCATGATGAACAAATTGGGAGACTCACACGGAAGACGGAAAATACAGGAGCAACATTTTCATGTGAGATCGAATTTTTAAAGCTAACATCAACTTGCGATTTACACCTTTTGTAATTGTATCTAATCTTATATAGGCCAGACTACAAGGTTGGTTGCATATGCATGCATTCTTGTATGCTCTTCCCTCGGGATGAACGATTTAACTAAATAAGCTTTTCCACTTCAATGTATATTGTAACGATTAGAGCAACATTTGACCCATAAAAAAACATCTAACAATTATATTACATAAATTTAGGTTTTATAATGTTATTTGAAACCTGGATAAGTGAAATTTAGTGGGACAAAAAAATTGTAAATTTTCGTTTATATGTGAAATCACGTTTTCCATCGTGGGGCGAATCACTAGTCCTAGTCGCTTTTATTCACAGCATTGATCAGACTTTATCCCCTGCCCGACCTAAACAATCTGTTTCCCCTTTTCGAATCAAGAACCTCTCTCACATAACGCAATTCTTTAACAATTTACCTACAGAGGGTGTCAAATTTTCATTTGTTCATTTCATAATCATCTAAAAAGCTGTATCTATGCGCTACAATATGGAAACAACTGTTTTTTTTATTTACAGGCCCTGAAAAACGTGATAGTCAAAATGTTCATAGACGTACTAAAACTGGATAGCAACACGCTCGGCGCTTGGGGCAAAACAGTGGACTTCTGGTACAAACACATCTTCGAGACCTTAGAGACAGAGTCCAGATAACGGATGCAGAACGGAAGATTAGAATAAGTTTCATACTATATTAGTTAGACTTTCTATCGCAAATTATCGATGATATTGTATTTATTTGTAAGTTATTAATATTAAAAATAGAAAATCTTTACTATGCTTTATTGAAGTGTTCTGGATAACAGGGATGAGGAAAGGGGGGGTGAAAATAAAACGCCCAATTTTATTTTTTATTTATTTTTTTACAATTAATCAGATAACATACATATCAAACCAGCCGAAGTATGGCTAAACCCATTTATTATCTAAACTTACGAACAATACAAGAATTGATACATCTCAAATACGCTTACCCTAAATATATAGATATATTATATAATAATATGCATCCACTCTACATAAAATCTACAACCTACTTATTCATAATCTAAGTTTGCATAAATTCAAAGTAAATATGCCCAAAAGAAATATTGTTGAACTATGAATATACAATATATAACTTTTTGGCAATTAATTGAGTATCATTTCTGTGCATAGCAAAATTAATTTTCTTTAACATGTAACTTAGATCTTATTTATAAAGAGGCCACAAATATAACATACATTTCTGTCGTCAGTTCGATTACATAGGGACTTTTGTTAAATATTATTTATTGCCTATACTATAAACGTTACCCTTACTAACTGAATTACCCTAGCAGTGCTGTGCAGTGAGTGGTGGGTGTACGGGCGGGCGCTCCCGCCTTGTGCGTACACGTTGCGCGGGCGCACGAGGACCTCTACGTGTATCCTTACTACGCTTAACATAACACATATACCGTTACGATACCATACAACACTTCACATAATGATCGAAACAACTATTTGTCATCTACATAAAATTTTTTCCAAATGTTTATATTAAAATATTTCTACTTATCGTAACCTTTTCATTAGTTACAGCCAACTTTACCAATAATTGATACATTAGACTCTCAAATAGATCTCTACTAACTATTATTAATGGTAAAAAATAAAGAATAAAATACTTCTAAACATTGCATTTCAATCACATTAGGTTTAGTTATAATTATACAATAATAACATCTTTTAAAACCCGAACATAAGTATTACAAGAACATTGATATCGTTGAGTTCTGGAATGGAAAATAGCACACTTAAATTCACTAACTGTTACGCTTACATAATAATTATTGTTCTCCTGCATTGTTTGTAAAATACATTGCTTTTAGGTAGAGTTTCAGAAAAATAACAATCGAAATATATCAACTATGTCATGCGCTGATACGTCGCGATATTTATAGCTTAATTAAAAAAATAACTTAAGAAACGTCAATACAGGTGGGTGTACCAAATAACAGTGCAGTGCGCTCGATAAGTACTGGGGGGAGCGATAAATAGTATTAATATATAGGTGAGGTTATCGAATGAGGTAATAGATACAAGGATTGAGACCGCCGAGCTCGCCGACCGGGCCTGCGTCTCTTATTTGGTACGAGAGCCCGACGCGCTGGGCCCGCAGCCGCTCCCACACCGGGCCTCCACGTCAAGGCACATTCTCGCCTGCGCGGCCGCAGCGCGGACTCACATACACGCACACGCGCAACTTAACGAAGAATTTGAGATATCGAGAACACTAAACGAGTTTCACATAAATGCCGAATAGTTACAAAAAAACACAAGGAACACTACAGCAGCAATCAAATTGCGAATACATTTGTACTACGTAAAAAATTAATACACAACCATTTGCGCGAAAAAAGACTGAAAAAGTTCAACTTTTCTTTTTGTCACGATGAAACAGGCAACGATCAATATTCCGGAGAGATTACATTCGATGGACACCGCGGTGTACCTGTTTCATCGTCGTCTAATACTAGATCTTTAGAATAGATTTCTCATCACAGAGATTTTGCACAAAAAATCGTCTATATTAAGCCTATTGATATTCAATTATGAAATTTATTATCGTCTTACTCGTTACGTTAATGTCGAATAATAGTACGAATACAAAGGAGGATTAATTACACTGTTGTAACGTGAGACGAGACAGCTTAAAACTAGGCTAACTTATCGATTAGTATTATTTTGATATTGTTATTTTTACGTCACTGCAACACGCTTTATATAAAACTACATTGTACTTTAAAAATCAAAGGTGGTACCGAAAAATATACTTTATTATAAAAAAACAACAACGCCAATCGTTCGTTAGTTTTAGAGAGATGCCACACTCTACCGATAAAAGCACTGCGACCGCTCGACTCGGACAGAAGGAGAATCACCGAACGGGAAATGTTAGACGATATGCAACGTTTGAGAAAAACAAAGTTCAGATGGCGTCGGTGGTTATCGTGGGACCTACAACGTTATCAGTCTCTCTTCGTACAGATAGGTGTCACGTCGACGAGTTAGGGGGAGAACGAATACTAAAGCGCTGGCAGTAGGAGAACTCTAATTAAAGTAATATCCTCATTCGACTCACTGGATAATATTAAAAATATCTTCTTAATCACAGCTATCAGTCTGTTCAAATTTAAATTAAGTATATTTTCAGAAGCGAATTAGTCGTTCCTCACTCGTAGGCTATTCAAGTACGTTCAAGGTACAAAAGTGACTAAGAGCGCAGAGTATTGTGAACATCGGGGATTTCGGTCGACACTACGAGTTACGTATGCGCCTCTCTTACAGTACAATTGAACGATGAATATAAACTTCACGCAGGTACAACAGAGATCTAGTGAAAGAATAATACGAATACAACTAGGTTCAATAAAAGGATATGATATACGATTATGCTCGATAACGAAGGCTCTTCTAAGCGATGTTCGAACGCGAGAGACTAGAGAAGCGTGTCGTGTTAGCGAGCAGTACCGGAGTCTACTGCATCAATTAACTGTCGTGGGGGGTTGGCTTCGATACTCATACACACATTATATACATCACACGCGGTGCGCAAATCGAAATGCATCATGAAAGGTACAGTTCACGAGTACTGCTCAGTGAACCGACGGACTGGATGTATCTTACCGACCTACGATAACTATAAATATAGCAGTTAAAAATATTCTCAGCGATCACATTTATTAAATTACCTCATAGAGAAATTTAGCTTAGTTCAACATTTATCAATGGCCCGCTGTTTACACGTAAAGTCACTCAGTACATTTTTTAAAATATTTTGTTATAATCAATTAATTATTCGTGTTTATCAACACCCTTTCACTTACAGCTATATACCGACAATACAAAAATCCATTCACTATAATTAAGGTAAATTTTAGATATTTAAACACTAAAATGTAAAATATGAAACATCCTAAATAAACTCTGATATTCCAATTTTAGGCATTAGCTCAATTAATTAAATATAATATTCTCGAGTGACTATGACAAAAGAGAAATAAATGCAATACAATAATACTACCCGACGATGCCCCGAAAGAGTCGAGAGGGTCCAAGCTGCTCGGGCGGCCTATCTACTCCTCTATCCGCTACGTCAAAGCCTTCGTTAGTATATATTTGGTATTCACTTAATCGCACCACAATACAAGACTAGAGGAATGATTGCCTCTTGTGGCGTCGCATCGCCGCCACTCCGTCCCTCGACATAAAGGAAGACTAGTTTCGTCGTAGACATTATCACCCGACGTACAAAAATATATATAAATAAAGACAACAGGCGAACGTTAAATCTTACCAAATTAAAAGGCCCTGAACATTGTGCACTATCCCTACGGCTATCCTAACGCGTCACAGTATATTATGCGGTTGCGGGCGCGTGCGAATCAGAATGTCTTTTGTATGCATCGGAAACGTACGATTCGAAGAGTTGGTCCCTCGAGACTGCGATGGCGAACGAGCGCCGAGATCGGGTCGAACGCGCTGATACACGAATATACATAACAAAAATAATAGATAGAGCTATTGTACGTTGAGTCAGACGAATTAGGAATATGCGAAACCGCACGAGCGTCAGCGGCCGACCGAGACCGGCAAATATACGTCGACACGATGCGTTACACTAGAGTGGTCCATTATTAAAACATTACAACTAATCATTGGAGATGGCAATACTAATTTTACAATTTTACTCCGCTAAGGAAACGTTAGATATAAATAATAGTAAAAATAAAACAACAATATGAGCAACTACTATCTGAATACTTGAGCTAGAGCATAATTAAAACCGGAGCAGCTTGGATGAGATAGACGGATCGGACGAACGGCTCCCATTTGTACGACCCAATTTAGTGATGTCAGAGATCCGCGGACGAGCTAACGGCTTTAGGACGTCGACTTTGGCATTCAACTGTTACGGAATCGATGCGGCTGAACAAACTTCACGAGAATAAAAATAAATAAGGAAGATAAAAATATGTACACAGGTATAGATATATATAAAATGTTGATTGATGACATAACACTTATAATAAAAGTAAAACGTAGCTAAGCTCATTAAAGATTACACAAGGCGTCGGCGCGGGCGCGGGCCCGGTGCTCGCGGCCGCGTATTGTCTACGGCTAGGCGAGCTCCATCATTATCATTAATTTGAAGGAAACGATTCAACCTGCCATCTGTTACGGTAACGTACCACAGTTCATTGAGGCACAATCATTGGTTTTTTATCATATTTTTACATTATTTTTCTTTTTTTTTGTTTTTTTTTGTTTTCCTTACATTCGAATTGTATCTATGATAATTATTATTAATATTATTATAATTACTTTTAGGTACGTAAATTTATCCTAGATAACAGAAACAAGTCACGAAAATGTTAGAAGTGAAAGCGTGAAGCGTATTAAAATCTTTTAAGAATATAATTCCACAATATATACATATTACAAGTATATGTTACGGTATTAAATATACAACAACGTAATAATAACACAGACTAAATTGCACGCGGCGCAATTGTGTGCAGGAAAAAGACGCAGTCCTTGAATCGAGTGGAGATTCAGTTAGCGCGGCGCGAACGCCACTCTTCACAACCTAGCCGGGCTACGTCGGCTCGCGGGCCGCCCGAGCGGGCGAGCCGTACGGGCGTGCCCGCTCGCCAGATCGCCGACAACTAACACACTACACCACAACGCCTACATTACGTCTCATTAAATAACTTTTAAGTACTGTTTACAATTTAACTGACTAAAAACTTCAAGGCATGACTTCTATCGTCTTTATTCTATGGACACATATACTACAGGGCACTGAATCATTATACTTTCGTTATTACTTGGCTTGTCTAAATTTAAAAATTGAAAAAATCTTATAAAAATTAATTTTTTTCTTTTCCATTATTTTTTAATCAATTTTATTGCTGTATTAAATTCATATTAAAACCAGTAGGCAACTGCGCTTGAGGCATCGAGTTTCGGTGTATACGTGGACAGAAGTACACCAGACGATTGAAACAATAGTAATACGGTTCGCTCCATCGAATCTACTAAAGAAACACCCTCACTTCAAAATTGAGCTCGGCAACAATGGAATTGACATCGGCCCGAATCGCGTGCGCCATTGTTGCGTAGACGTAACGAGGTTTAGGAACATCAGATCGATAACCCGTACCGCAAATAATTTCAAAACAATTTGGAAGATATGTCTACATTATGCGAATGCTTCGTTCCGACCGCCGTTCGATATCTTTGATACTGATTCTTTGGCACCTAACGTTTCGCGTGACGCTGCAGAGGCGGCGAAGAATACGTAACGAATATTATGCGTCCCGTTTCCTGTGAAGAGATGTCGCATGAACACATACAGAACTAACTACAACTAAGTGTCCGAACACGCGTCGATCACTCGCTTATCGAATTAAATTTGTGAAGAGTTCCCGAGCGCGAGGCCCGATAAGGTACAGCGAATACTTACACCTAACTTAGCACTAATCGTTATTAAGATCACTGGAAGATGCTCAAAGTACAAGATACACGTTGATAAATTAGTGGTACGCTTTCGTGATCGATCGCTTGATCGCAAGCGTGGTGGGTCCGCATTGGGGCCCGCCCCCTTCCGAGACGGGGCCGCGAAGACTCGTCTCATCGCGCTACTTCTACCCCCGGATACCGATATGGTTCTCCGGACGACGTCCCTATTTAGGTGGTCCTGGTCGATCGCCCGTCGAACCAAACCGGCCGAGTGCAAGCAGCCGAGGGGCCGAGCCGGCGCTCCCGCTCACAGGGACCGCGGGCCTAAGTCTTAAGCCACGTCGCCCCGACTACCTATCCCATAATATACTGGTAATGATAAAATATTTTGGCAGAGTATCTCTGTGGCACACCATCAATAAATTAAAAAGGTAAATAAAAATTGTAAATAAACTTTCATATGATAACGAACATTTACAAGTGCGATCGTTGCCGTAAAATATCAATAGTACGCTTATCGGAGCTTAGCCTATAGGACTTAAGTTATCTTAATCTTACGTCTAAGATGATCGTAATACCGAGACGCTACCGCTACAGGTATATTATTAACAGAATATCTAAAGCATATGTCACTTTGAATAACGTTCAAATTGAGCCTATAGAAAATACCACAAATCTTTTATTAAATAGATATGATATGGCTAAATTTAAGTTAGAACTTTATACTTATCTATACACAAAAGTGTAATATTTAAATTACCGTCAATTATAGTACTTTTATAACACGTCTCACAAATGTATGTAATATAAAATGATAAAACAATTTTCAATTTAATATATTAGGTTACCCTTACATTAGTCGTATAATCTAGATAATCGTTTTATATATTTATTTAAACATAAAGTGGCACTTGAATCACAAATACTGGAAAAAATTTGGGGAAACGGCATCGGCGGTGCCCCGCGGCGCGACGGCCACTCCTCAGCCGTCCTTAGGCAAGATCAGATCACACGGCGAGCCGGCCGCCTTCCCTTCAGACTATGCGGCTACGCGGCTTAAAGGAATATCGCTACTACAATGCACGTCCAATCTCTTTTTTTGGCTTTTCTCTTTTTCTTAATCGTCATTACGTATTCATAATCAACTAAGTAAACATCTTCAATCCGGGCGAAATGCACTTAGAATTTATTGCTCAATAAAATATCACTACTGGAAAACGAGAGCTCGGCGCGAGCGACAAATTCGAAACTGAATAAATAATATAAAACACGACACGGTAAGCGAATAAAAACGAGAAAATAAAAAAAACGCAAAGAAAACTCGGAACGCAATCGTCCGCGCAGCGAAACAGCAACAGCCCGCGGACGCAACAAAATAAATACACGCTAACGAGTGCCGCTAGCACGTGCGCTTCCGTGAACGCAATTCTGGAGTCTGCGCATTCACGTCCGCGCGCAATCGATTGATTTCTAAAACCATTTCATGTCGCAAGTTCATGTCGTGTTACGAGCGGAACAAATACGTTAAATTCGAGTATCGTAAAGGGCATGGACGCGCAGACTGGACGCTGCGCTCGCGGAAAGGACGCGCCTTCGAGCGGCACGGGCACGGGACGAGTGACTGAGGTAGCCCGCGACACTAACCCTACCGCCGACATTACCATATTTGGTGATCGCGACAACGCGTGCGCACGCGCGTCTAACACGCGTCCGCGCGCACCGCCCGCGACTATCTTATATACACTAAATACTCTACAATGAACACTTACGAAACAGTAGACGATAGTATGTGGACAGTTGGCTACCGCGGGCGAGGTGAACGATCCGGTGAGGTCGCTCAGAATTAAGCATTTGTACGACGAAGCGCGTTTCAGTACGGCCGCAAACTGTGGTCTCTATGCCCACTGCAAGGGTTTGCGCCCGTAAAAACGTAGAGAAACTATCGCACAGTGCGACATTTTAACGCACCGTCACCCCGCCCGCACCACGTGACTAGGCGAAAAAATCCCACTCGCGAGAGTGAGACAAGCGTAATTACAACTAGACACCTATTTCGGTCCATACCTCAGGTGACGCTCGACATTTGTACATATACGGCGCCGGGCAGAACTGTGCGGTTCCGGAACGCTAAATTATTATTATCACGTTTAAATTGACGTAGACGTCGCGGGACGTCGCTTTGTGCTTGGGGGAATCGCAAAATTCTGCTTACAGTACGCCTGGGCGCGACTCGACGCGGCGGGCGGCATTTCCACAGCAGATAGTCACCCGCAGCGTAGAGGGCGTCATATAGTGGTGTTATACATATAATCTAAAGGTGAAAATAGATTACTGAGTCTCGCGCAGGTCGGGTGTCGAGCACGGTGCTTAGATGGATTCTCCGCCGAGCAGATCAGGCGGTAGGAACGAGTTAAGAGCGGAGGGCGTGGCGCGAGCCTCGTGCTGGTCAGGCCAGAGCCCGGGGAATCCGCCCCAACTGTCCTGCTGCAAAGGGTAACATTGCAGGTCAGTACAACCTCGAATTCATTGTTATTAACTCTTAGCAGCAGACAGATTGACAGAATCTCAAAAAAGAGAGACAGTTCAACTTACCTTGGAGCCTCCACCGCCCCTCCAGGCGCCGCCACCACTCGAGCCCAGATGCTGCAGTAGCAGCTGGACGTCAGACTCCACTGGGGACTCCGCGAATATCGTAGTGTTGCTCAACACGCAGTTATTTAGGGCCATTTGAGCCTAAAATAATAGAATATTTATATAAAACGCTGGAAATATGATCCTATTGTAAAGATGTAGGTACTGTGAAGGCCATCACTACATTAAAGGAAAACTCGGTATATTATATATTCTCGCTAATTTACAAAAAAAACATTAATTCATAAATATTTCATATAAAACTTCACAAGTTATAGAAAAATATATTTTTAAGGTCACCCATTAAAGTATTCATTGAAACATGAAAAAAGGTTTAAAAGTAAATTTGAAAATTATTATTAAGTTAATATAGCTTAAACCATCGTTAATATCTTTTGTGGTTATTTATGGTATACCTTAGCTGCCTCCTCGCGTGTGGAGTAACGGGCGAGTGCGAGACCCTGGTTCAGGTACAGGTGGAAGTTCTGGAGTGGGCCATGCTGTACGCAAAGGGTCTTCAAAGTGGACCCGTCGATCTGATTAGAAAATTGCCTTTGATTAGATTCAGAAACACACAAATTGTAATATATGTGGTTATAAATTGCTTCGAAAATATTTTTTATTTTATGTTTGGGTAAAAAGTTTATGGACGGCGATAGAAAGGTATATAAATATAATAAACCGTGCTTGGTTTTCGTCGTAATTATTTTATTATTTATTTTGTCGTTTATTATTGTCATTATTTCAAGTCCAACCTCCTAAGTAGTATTAGGAGCATCCTAATAGTAACTTCTCTTGTAGGGTTAGGTATAGTCCTAACCCTACAAGATGAGTAAATTTAATTCAAGAATCTGGTCAGGTTGAGTAATATGTAAAAAAGAAATTATGAACTAGAAACATAGCATCTCAGTTTAAATTTACATATTTATTTATTCTCTTGTAGTAATAAAACTAAACCAGAATCTGTATTATGTGAACATAAACGAAGCCATGGAAAATAAAACACGTCAGTCGAAACGAACAATTGAATGAAAACAAGTTGTTGTTATGTACCGAGTCACTTGTGCAATTATTACGACATTAGACAACTGTATCGCAATTCGGTACAAATGCGTCATTGTTATTATTACGAAAGCACGCCGCACTTGATCAAGCGAGCAGGTTGGGATTTTATATTTGATCTGTGCATATTGTCTTAAACGAAATTATATTTTAATAGGGCTTTAACGTCGTAATCTTCAACGATAACAATATTTACATAAAGGTTTTTTTTAAACCACTATGCCTTTCTGGCCCCGTTGAATAAAACTCTAAAATACTATATAAGGAGCACCATTTCGTAGATAAAAATAAATATTAAACCATGTAAAGGTTAAAATAAGTTCAAAAGTTTTATTTTCAATCCAGCTAATTTACGTGATCGCTGGACAAATTTCAATGCTACCTACATGTGTATATAAAAATGTATGACTCACTTGGGCAGTAAGATTCTTCAGCAACAGCCAAGTCGACGATTGCCACGATGGCACAGCACTGCGAGCATTGTTAGCGTGGTGCTGGGGCCACTTGTTCAATCCCGGGGGGGCAACTCTGCCCTTAGCTCCCCAAGCATCTGTCTTCAGGCCACCGGCGCTGGTGACAGAGGGGTAGCTCCAAGTGGAGGACGAAAGGCTGCGTTCGCCGCCTGGGGGCGAAGACTTGCCTCCGAGCATGTCTGTGTCCTTAATAGCAGTAAGGGATAGTGGTGAACGCACCACTGAGCCAGGCGTCATCGCTGGATCGTCTTCCACAGTTTTCAATTGATTACCCTGATAATTAATTTAAGGAGGATTTTTTACATTTCACAAAGCATGTTTTTTAATTACATATATAGATCCCATTTTAATCTTTAGTTAATGAGATAGTAACTCTTTTAGATTTAAACTATAGTCAAGATAAATTGTTAGGTGCCATGTAACAAGAAGACACTGTTTTAATGCTGGTTGAGTTTTTTTTTACTTACCTTCCACGGTTTGCCCGGCTCAAACTCGGGCACGAGATCATATACGGGTGGGTGAGTGTGCGCTGGCCAGTCTTTGCCATCCGCTACGTCGGCGCCTTCGCCCCATTCGGCGCCACGCCCTACTCCCCAAGTCCTATATTAAATAATAAAATATATATTAAAGGAAAAAATAATAAGACACCAGTATATCTTACTTTAACAAAAACCGACTCTTCAGTAACAAAGTAACAGCAAGTTAAGAAAGATTATAAAATTGAGAAACATTTACTGAACATGATAAACTACACAAAAAACGCTCGTTATATGCGCGTAGCTATTTAAAACAACGTTTTGTTTTATTTGCTCTTTTTATTGCCTGTTTGGCTAAGCAAATAAATGAATGAAATAGCGTTTCCCCCCTTGGGACATGGGGCGAATACATTATTTTTATTTACAGCAAGTAGTTGATCAGACTTCTGTGACTTTGTTTAGAACTTTGACTGTACTCGGGTGATAACTATATAGCATTATTTATAGTATGACTTACGAGTCAGGTTGCAGACCAATCTGGTTGAGTTGTGGGCTGGTTGCACTCTTGGCTGTGCCAGGCGCACGGCTGAACTCAGTTCCTTCTGTCTCCTTATCTAAAGAGGGCAGCTTCCACTGGTTGAGGCGAGACTGTTGGTTAGTAGCGCCGTATGCCTAATAAATAATAATTACATTAATCTATAAGTCCACTTATCCTATCATATAAGTTATTATAGAATTATTTAAATAAGAATCCATAGTTAAGGTGAGTGGTTAACCCTTTTCAACGGAATAAATGGGACTTTATGAGATAGAAACGACAATTTATATATTTTGTATGTTTGACAGCAAATATGGTAAACTGTTAAGCAGATATTAAGACTAACCTAGTAAAAATAGATATACAGTAAAATATTTTGTATGAAAGAAACATGTTAAACCAACTTTATAATGTGAAATTTTAAAATAAAGGCGTTTAGTATTATTTCTTTCTTACTTTTTTATGTTGTTGTGAAGTGCTTACCCCTTGGGACTCCTTTCCAATGGACATCTCACCAAAGTTATTGCCGAGTTGTGTCAATGGATCGTGGCTCTGCTTAAAGAGATCGGCTCCACCAGCTTGTTGCTTCATATATAGAGCTTGTTGGTTAGCTATTTGGTTCTGAAATGTATTTGCGTTTAAAGCATCTGCTAAAATTCTTCAGTGCAAACATTCCTGATAGAAAAATAAACTAAATGTTTGTGGTACTGTGGTATATAGAGAGAAAAATTCAAGTTAGATATCCCCTGTGACTATACTCACTTGTAAAGCTGTAATCTGTTGCTTAATCTTTGAGATCTGCATTGAGTATTGCAAGGCCAGAGAGGAGTTGCCTTTGGAAATGGCCAAAGTGTGTTGCTGCACAAGCTGCTGTAGCACTTTGATCTGTAAAAAGTGTTACTCTTTCACTGCTCAATAGTAAAATTGCGTTTTCTTCTATGGGGGATTGGGCGCAAACAATTTGAGTCCGTTTCGCGGATTGATTTTATTTAGATCGGGCACAAAGCGTTTAAATTATATAGTGTTGCTTTGTATTTTTTATTTGAACCACACATTTAATGGAGATAAACTTTCCACATAAACAATATTTGATCGAAAAATAAGTAATAATTTTTGCAATCGTCGAAATCTGTAAGATAGCTTCCTTCATTAAAAATAGGAAAAATATCATTTCTATCACTTTCAACAGCTCCCTTGACATATTTATACTAGTTCTAGATAAGCACGATAGTAATTAATACTTTCTTAATGTCGTTAGTGAAAAATAACGCCGCTACTATCAACGAATAATTAAAACAATCTTATATTGTAGAACCAAATACAAAACCTATTTCTATTGAAACGTGAATATTTAAACTTTTTTTTTTTATATCATTGTGTTTCATTAGTTGAAACATTGTTTAAATAAAAATTTCATTGTGGTAAAATTTATATTCTCATGTAAAATAGTATAAACACAAGTTATTTCTATTTTGAATAAAAAGATATTTTTATTTTATATTATTTAGTTTGGTACTTTTGGCTCTATTATATTACCTGTTGCAACAGTTGATTGAGTAGAACCAGAGTTTGAGGCGCCAGTGGCTGGTTCAAGATCTGATGATTAAGATATCCAGCGGACACTGCCATTTGGATTTGCTGAACAAGCATACGTAGCTGAGCAGTGCTGGGCTGGCCACTGTTGCCGGAACCACTGTTAAAAGAATTTTTTTTGAATACAGTTTTGTTATAATCAATTTCTAATTCAAATTGTATAACAACTGTATTAGTACTATAGCCTGCCATTCTTTTTTTAAATAATCCTTAAAAGTAAATAAGTCTACACTTAGTATTATTGTAACATACCTGTTGTGATTGAACGATGGATGATGCTGGACAGCATGTGGTGGTGGCTGATTCAGCAGTTTCTGGACAACAGCAGGTGAAACAGATGGCACGGAGGGCTGCTGCTGGAACGGACCGTGATGAAAGTGGTCATCCCTTCGCCAGCTGTCACCGCGGGCAGCTGCTAACATTTCTGCAGCCTCCTCAACATTCATGTCGCGGCTTCGCAGTGCCGCTTCGGCCTCCTCCTTTTTGTAGCCCATCTCCAATAGAATTCTGTATACAAACATAACAAGGATTAGCATGAAGCAATGTTATTGACGTTGTGAAGTCATTATTGTAATGACACGCCATTTTACGCGCTTGTGATAAATATACATATAACATAGATAGTGATAAGTATTATATCACGTTGAAAGATAAGTACGAAAAACACAAGATAATATGGACTAACTATTATTAGCTCTTATTAATAATGTCAAGATCTGAATTCTACTAAGAACCAACATGACTGAGCCCAAATGATCATTTCACAATAATAGTTGAACTTTGAAACATACCCATATATAGACATTTATGATTGTCTCCACAATTAATAAAGATCTAAATGGTACATACCTGAACTGCTTACTGTTCCAGACCATCTCTTTAGTAAGTTGTTTGCCTATAGAGCCACCTTGCGGAGGTTTGGGGCCACCCCATTCAGCGATATCATCGGGCCAGGCTCCAGTTGGGCCGGCAGGTTTCGGTTTAGGTACGGGCCATAGCCCGGGTCCGGACGTGTCTGTCCAGGCCGGGACGTCGCGGTCCGGCCATCCTGCGTGGGGCTCTTCCCAAGACCCATTGCGTTGGGAGTGAGCTCCCCACACACCTTCCGGTTTGGAAGGGGTCGGTGGGATCCGTTGTGGGGCAGGCGGGCCCTGAGGGGCACCCCTAGCCATGCCACCGCCCATGCCGGCACGTTGAGCCCAAAGGGACGTGCCGTCGTCGAAGGCGCCCGCTGCACGACGCGCAGCCGGCGGAGATGGCTCTTCCCAACCAGACACTTTTATGCCATCCTTTGGCCCCTGCGAATATAGAATTTATCATAACAAGCCAAGACGTTTCCACGTTATCTCTTGATATTTCACTTTAAAGAAAAACTGACCCTGTTTCATTATCAAAGTAGCGGATGTTTTTCATTGACTGATAAAATGCTTTTAAAGGTTGAAATTAGGCAATCAGATTAAATTTTGTGTGTAAATTCAGACTATCCTATTTTTTAATAATATCATCTTATTAAGTAGCACAAGCTTTAAAATTAAAGTGACAGACAAGGACCTGTGTAAAGGTTTTATGTAATTTAATACTTCACACAACACTTGGTGTATATTCTTACCTGGGCACCCCACTGATTGACAGCACCAGTAGGCATCATCTTATTGGGAGCGGCAGCAGTGTGCTGGTGATGTTGGCTCCACATGTCGCCATTAAGACGACCTGAAATTCCCCCGCGTAGTTCGGGTGGTTGCTGTCGAGGATCTGGGGTGCGGTGAGGGTCAAGTCTGGGATCGGCCGGGCGGTGGGGTTCACCCCAGGCGTTCCAGTCATCTTTCTTTGGTACCCATTGTTGCGAGTGGGCGGGCGGGCCCCCAGGCCACTGCTGTTGTTGCGGCGGCCCTGTCCAAACATTAGCAGAATCTGCGGCATCATCGTCTTCACCCCATGTGCCGCCAATGTTGGTCGTGGGCGTGTGACCCCAAGGAGTCTTAGACGCCGGTTGTGGTGGGGGTTGACCACCGTTTCTCAAGTTAGCCTCCCAAAGGTCAGTTCCAAGAAAAGCACCATTGTTAATATTTGGCTTCCAGGCTGGTGGTCCTCCGGCTGATGAGTCTACTTTAGAACCAGGTTCTGGAGTACCAGGTACTTCCCAGTTTGTGTCTTGGTTCACATGTTGCTGTATAAATAAAAGGTGGTTAAAATTTATAATAATTATGGTCTTAGAGTCTCTTATTATATTTTTGTTTGTATCAATATACTTACGCCGCCCCACCCATCTTGGCTAAAGAGCGCCTCCCTCATGGTGTTGAGATGCTCTATTTTAGCGGAGGATGTGTTGTTTGTTGAATTCCCATTATTGCCATTGGATGTAGGTCCGTTTGTACTGCCGTTAGCAGTTGGCAAATTATTCCCGTTGCCGTTGCCATTTGTACCTACGACAAGTGAAACAAAAAAATTCAGCGATGTATTTTCGAAAGGTTATCAAGACGTTACGCCAAAGTCATATAGTTTATTTACATATTGTTGCAATGAAAATATCCTTTAAAATGTAATTACCGTTGCTTGAAGGCGCACCGTTATTGTTGGATTGGGAATTTGGCATGTTTGGAGGGGAGCTCTGCCAATTTTGCGAAGCCGCGCTGGTCGGCGGTATTTGATTGCCATTGCCCTTATTGCTGTTCACTGCAACCGAGCATACAACGTAAACATTTTTATTAAATAGGCATACAGAGCATTTATCAAATGCTTCACTGATTAGAAACAGTGAAATTAAACATGCAGTGATCATTTTAACTTTATATTGACATGTATTACATAAAAACTAAAGGGCAAAGTGACAATCAGCTTTAAGTCACTATCACTCCACACCAGAAGTGGTGGTACCAGCTTATGTTGTTAAGTTAAGTAATAAATATTAGTCGTGTTTTTAGAAAAACTACATGTGAGACCTCTTAAAGAGGGGGGAGGATTTGGTTATAGGAGTTATTAAAGGGAAATCATGGATGTCACGGTTTTCAAGCAATTTGTAAAGTGGCGTAAAATCTAAGCGAATAGCAACTAACTGTCAGCTTGAGATGTGGGTGGACGTTGTGAGTTGTTCCACTGTTGAGTATTATTTGTCCCGTTATTAGTTTGGCCACTGGAATTACCACTCCAATTACCAGCTGCAACAAGTGATTAACGCGTTTAGTACCATTAATTCGACACCATTTACTTAGTATATTGCTCCACAAATCTGATAATTGAAAACTGTTATGCCACCAGGTCAAAGGAAATGTAAGTGGAGGTGCTCTCATGGGTGTAACCATTAACTGCTGTTAGGCAAGATGTTATCTTCGGTGAATAACTCAACAATTTCTAGTAAGGGTAATAAAAACTTAGATACTATTTGCGGTAGTTATAAGAAAAAAAGACTATCTAACATGATTACATGATGTAATCAAATTATGTATTTATAGACATACTCATTGGTTGAGGAAAATTTATGTAGCCAAGCGGAGGCAGAGACATCTTCACATTCTTAGGATAATATAATAAATGTTTTTTTTTATATAACATGTTGATTAATATTCGTCCTAACTTATGAGTTAGCTTTTTTTTTTAAATATTGCATTGAAATAATCAAACCAGTAAGAAAAAATGACAAGAATCATGTCAAAGGCACATATAGTTAAACCCCAAAATCTATGAATGCTACAAAAGCAAAATTAATGTCAATCAATGATAGTTGGTGGTGCTTAATTTAAAAATTATGTTGTTTTCATTTTTTATATATAAAAATAATAGCCTAACTGTATGATAAGAGACAACTTAGGTAATATAGTCTAATTAAAGAAGAAAACTAATAACCATATTATTTTCTATTAGAAAAGAACAATTTTGCACTAATCATTTTAGTTAAATGTGTACTCGTAACCAACTTAATGAAAATATTTATTTGTTGTTAACATGAACTAAGTAGTCAAAATCATGTTTACCTACAGGTATGGTTATGATTCTTGTTTTTTATGAAAAATTTTCACAAACAATTGCTAAATAGGGGATTTTGGCAAAATTCTGATGTATTCTAATAATAGACACATAAAATAGTACATAAGTATACACACCATTATTTGAGGCAGGTGGGCTTCCCCAGCCCGAGGCTGCATTGAGAGAGCTTTCACCGCCACCACAGAGTCGCAGGCGACGAGGCGTGCCCCAACTGTCCACTTCTTCACTCTTCTTAATATCGTTCAAGATTCTTTGTTCATTGGCGACCAGGGCCAGCATAGCGTCCAACGTGAGATCACCATTTTCGAACGTCTTCAATGGCTGACTCTGACCAGCGCTCATTACTTTATTGTCATGGCGATCGTCTACAGACTTGTCGTAAGTGAACATTCGAGTTTCGCATATATCATTAAGAGCAGACTTTAGTATTTGTGTCTTATTTATGCAATGTTCGTCTCGTATAATACAAACTGAGGATTTAAAAGCGTAATCAGACTTGTTCATATACTCTGGCGCTCGTGCCGCCATCTTATAGTTTAAGTTAAAGCTACTGAAATACGGGTCACTGTATGAGATACCCTGGACTGTTATGGCGTTAATTAAAGGAATGCAGTAGTTAGGCGTACCGCCAATCGTTCGCTTTTGTTGGATACTATCAACAAATTCTACATTATAAATATTATTATCTACCATTTTTACACTAACTCGCTGACTTTCATTCTTCCCATCGACTCGCTTAAAAGCACCAATTTTATTTGTGATCACCACCATCGAGGTGGAGTAATTACATTGCATTGGTTCGGTAACAGTATCAATATTGGAGTAACAATTATCCTTAAATAGACATGGAACACATAATATTACAGAAACATTAGATATCAGACAATTATTATAAATAGAATAATTTTCTACAATATCCAGCTAAATTTATACTTATTTTCACAGATTGCATATTGTTTCAATTAAAGACTAAGTAACAATGGTTTGTAGTGATGCAGTCAATAAAGCAGGTAGCAGTGTTTTATGCCTCTATAACAGAGGCGAGTGAGATCACCGCTGGAAGCTGCTGTGGATGCCTCTAGCCCCAAGTGGCCCAGCCCTAAAACAAAGAGCTGCCATGAACCTCTGACATCTGCCAATTTGACATGTCGCGTTAGCCTCTATATAAAAATATAATATAATGGCCAATTTTGATTTATGTTTTGCTTGCGCCTATAATACAAGCATGATTATTATGTAACACGACATAAACATACATATAATATGTATAGGTATAGTTTTGCTATTGTTATCCTGTTGGAAACTAATAGTGTAGAATGTTGTTAAAAATAAACTACGCACCTTATAGGACGGACGAGAGGCTGAGCTGTATATCACAGATAATGCGGGCTCGGCAGATCCTTAGAAGCAGCTTAGCTAGCTCGTATCGTTTCACTTTGTCTGCATAGAAGGAAACAAAACGTTAAACGCCATAACCAAAATCCACATAGCAACAAATGACATCGATCGGGCTTGTAAAATTCCACACTAAATAATAATTTGAGGTTATTTCAAGGACTACAAGAGTTCGAGCCTACTGTGTCTATTGTGTACTTTTTTATAGTTTAAAGACCCAAAACGTGATATATATACCATGTTAAATCGATTAATTTGACCAGACACTGACTAGGTTCGCGAATACAGAATTAACAAGATATTGCGTCGCGAAGATAAGCGTATCAAGCCATAGCTGTGATTCGCGAGGCGCAACGATTCGCCCGTCAGATTCACAAATCACAATCACTGAACACAGGTTTACACAAACGGGATTGATTAAAAACTTACTTTTGCATAGAAATCTTTCAAAAATGCTTTTATCGGCTAGCAAATACTGATACAATTCTGTATATATCGGCCTTGAGACTCGATGTTGAATATCTACAGATTCTATACCTATATCAAGTATATACATGCATATATATTTATCTACAGTAGCTATCTACAATCTACTAGAGTGAAAGTCAGCACGACCTATTAGCAGAATCTAAGCACAAAACCAAACAATAACATTGTCATACGTAAATGAGCACTTGATATTTACTAAAAGTCTAAAAGAACACCAAATATCACAGTTTTGCAGGAGAAAATATAAAAAATTCTTACGTGACACGAACGAGCACAACGGTGTTATATTACTAGATAGAACGAGACAGAGAATTTGTGCGATCTTGACGCGCCGCTTATTAGAGCGAGACAATAGACACGCCTGAGAAAGCGATGCCATAAATGCATAAAAGGTCCTACGTTAATTTACAACATTGATTAACATTTCTCATATGTTCAATACCTTTGATTTTTATGGCTGTTGGCACAATCACGAAAAGATTATTATAAAATTACAATCCGAAGCCCCAAGAACACGGCTTCGACGGCTGGATGGAATGATTTCGTCGTCGGGGTTCGCACAACAACTTACATTATCAAACCCATTCGAGAAGGTTGCCATTTCCGAGACTCTTATATTGTGGCTTATAATATTTTTATCTTGGTCGAATAACATCGCTTCGGTATATAAATTATAATAATTATACATCACGTTCTATTGGATCGTAATGTACTTGCTTACCCGGATAGATAATTAGGTAGGTATGTATAGTTTGATACATAAATACAGTTTGTGTTTCGCGATTTATACCGCGATCGTTATAATAGAATTGAAACTCATCATAATTTTATCAATGCATAAAGCATATTTCATTGATAAAATATATCTTTAAAAAATTCTAAATATAATGACAGCCTTATATAGCATACTATTATAGCCTTAAATTCAAATATTTAACAAATCCAATACAAACTACTAGTATATGCTTGAAACAAACATTATTTAATCAACTAGAAAAAAAAAAAATAAGCCATATTACTTATTACAAGTAATAGTCTAGTTTGATTACTTTATTCATAAGCTTCGTAAAAACTTCTATCTAGACTTCACGTATTCAATCTTATAGAAAATCAATAAGGCAACTGTAGTTCTTTAGGCAAATTGGAGGGACAGGTACAAACATGGAAGATCGGTAATCATTATTTTTGTTATTAAGCCTTAACTACAACCATAATAAGAAACTGCAGTAAATAAAAAAAAATCTAACGGATGGAAATTAAATGTATCCTAAAGAGAAGCTAACAATTAAAAATCTAAATACTTGTTTTAGGTGTACACCATACAATAATAAAAATACATACATACGTTTTATTGATTCTCAAAGCTGTAAGTCTGCGTTGCCGCGTTGCCAACCCTTTACAGATTATATTTGGCCTGTGGCAATTAAATAAATATCAACTTGAACCCAACGTCAACCCAAGCAGGAACGGCTAAAATATGTTACGTATAATGAAATAGCACTATCTTTGATACTGTCTGACAGAATTAAGGACTATCAATATTTTGAAAATTGTTGTTCTGATAAAGAAGATTTTTTTTCAAATCTAGTTAAATTATTCTAACCAACATTTATATAACATGGAGCATAATAATCGATGCCCTAATCGTTACATGTCGTTAATAATATTTTACGATATTTAAAATTATTATACGATATTTTTTTTTAAATCATGGTTTTCTTATTTGTGTTTGAATGTGGTAACATTGATTTAAATATTACTTTGTTTGTATTGCAAAATACACTAAAACCTAGGGGCTTATTTTAAAACATAGATATACATATATAAATATAATTCATAGAACATCATTTATATTCTTTTATATTTAATTGTTCGTTCAACATTCATTTGTATGTCCTACCACATTGAACTAATACTCCTATGCGACAAACTTAAATATCGTAGGAAATATTTTTTTATGCATGAGTAATTAATAAAATTAACGTTGGTGTACTTAAACTTTATTAATAATATAGTTTAACTAAGATAGTTAAGTGGCAGAAAGATTTCGGCCAATAGGCTAGGTTCTAAACAAATAAAAAAATATTTGCATCTATGTTATTTTAAAAGTAAAAAAAAAAAGTTGGAATCAGAAAGGTCAATAATTCAATAAAGTTGTTTTGAATAACATATTATGTATTAAAATATACAAATATAAAACAAATGTAGGAGAACTGAATGTTCTATATTTGCTCAAAGTTTAATGAAACTTAATAATTCCTGTTTTCTAAGTCTACTAGAATAAGGGAGCAATGTTTTTATCGCAACATATGTCATGCCTCGTCCGTGGTTTTTGAGAAGAAATCTAATTATGCCTGTTGCTGAAGCCGGGGATCAATATTCAGTTTGGGTAAAGTTATTCTGCTTAATACATTGATTTGGGATAAGAAACCTTTTAATAATCATACATGTGAATTGATGTCCCCCATCCTTTGTTTATTCAACTTTGTTAGACTTAATGTAAAAAAATGTTTTTTTTACTGTTTGTTACTATCATTGTTTTTCATGAAAGTAATCTATTGCTGAAAATTAATACTTTACATTTTTCTCAGTGTTTTGTATCTATATATAAATATGTAAAATTTGTGATCTCATAAAGTAAGTTGTTAACATAAACTCCTTTACAGGTGGGACTAATCTATATATTCAATTTAATTGTTGGTACTGGTGCGCTTACACTACCTGCAGCATTTGCACGAGCAGGATGGGGTCTAAGTACCATATCACTTGTTTTTCTCGCATTCATGAGCTTTATGAATGCCACTTACGTTATAGAAACTATGGCTTGTGCTAATGCAGTCTTTAAATGGAAAAGGCTGCAATTTATAAAGAGAAATAGTGTGAGTGTTTATTTGAGTAATCTATATAAATAGGTATAGTCTTTTCCTTTATACTCAACGTGTGCCTCTGTAAAACAGCTCCAATTTTTATGTGTACTGTTCGCGTGATGTATGGACAATTAAGGCAATGTTCTTGTAATAAATATTATTAGCCCAACTTAAAAAAAAAAATTGCATGTCTTGAATTACATACATATGATAAATTTAAATTAAATTCTGTAAAATATAACAAAAGAGGTCTGTTGTGTAAGTTTTTATATATTCAGGTTCAAGACGAGGAACATTCTGAAGATGAGCAGTCCACTTCCAACCAAGGATATGGAGAACTTGAAGACCCTCTGGTCTGTGGTGATTCAATACCATCACGTTACTATAGTTTGGATACGAGAGTAGAACTTGGAGAAATGGCAAATCTATTCCTCAGTAAAGCAGGACGAACAATGTTTTATTGTACTCTGTGTGTTTACTTGTACGGAGATCTGTCTATATATTCAGCAGCTGTAGCTAAATCCTTGATGGATGTTATATGGTATGTATAATGCAAAAGAACTCTTCCTTGTGTATATAATATCCTCAAAAATCTTATCAGCTAGACATACCATAAAAAAATTATGATAATAAAGCTTTTAACGCGATTATGATATTTTTAACGTCGCGTAAACCAAACGCAGAGTCAATTAAAAATATGTCAAACTATTTTCTACCACATTAATAACTGTCTTGTTGTACCATTATGTAAATAATTAATTATATTATTTCGCGTTTCGAACCATTGTTTTGGTTATTTAATTAAGAGTATTATATTTAAACATGTACTTATGTAAACAACAGACAATCCGTAGAGATATTAATGCATATTAAAGTATAATGTATGTTTTTTACTTAATCTCATATAAGTATTGTGTCTAATTAATAATTTCTATTTCTTTCAAGCACAAATATCCCATCCAACATGACAAACACAACGGATTGGGAGGATATGCCGTGTTTCAATGCAGAGGGGTACACAAGAATGGATTGCTATAGAGTAGCTCTTCTGACCTTCTTTGCTGCGATGGGTCCTTTCGTCTTCTTCAATGTACAGAAGACTAAGTACTTGCAGCTGTTTACTTCGGGAATGAGGTGGCTTGGTGAGTGATTATTTCTTTTATATATTTGTTCATATGTGTGTGTTGTTATTAAATTTGTCTCAAAAGTGGCTTGACCGATTTAAGAATATATAGTTTTTAAAGCTTGAACATTTTGATGAGGAGGTTTGATGAATTTTGTTAGGTTTATCTCTTTATTTAATAGGCTTTATCTTTATTAGATTATGTCGCCCAATAAGACTAAAATGATCTTGGAACAGGGAAATCTTAACACTGTGAATAGACTAAAACTATCTACATCGACGACTTATAAGTTTAGCATCCTAGAATCCTCCCCCGAAAATACTACTATACCACCCCATGTTTACTTACAAATTCCTGATATGTTGCAATTTAAAGAGGTTTTGTTTTTGCGAACCGTGTCTACAGTAGCCCTCAAAGTTGAATAAATTTTCCCAGTTTTTTTTTTAAATATTTTTTAAATTGGACCCAGGATTTTGTGAGATTAACGCGTCCAATCAAACAAACTCTTCGGCTTTATAATAGTATAGATGACGTATAATAAAACCTTATAATTCTATTACAGCGTTCGTCATAATGATATCATTGGCGATACACCTCTTGATCAAACACGGACCTCAAGGAACGCCGCCGGCTTTCGACTTCACCGGAATGCCAACCCTGTTCGGCGCGTGCGTTTATTCCTTCATGTGCCACCACTCCCTGCCTGGGCTAATCACCCCGATACGAGGTAAGAAATACCTCGGTCTCCACCTCTCCCTCGACTACTCGTTAATCAGCATCTTCTATCTCCTTCTCGCGTTTACTGGCGCTTTCGCATTTGCGAATTTAAACGACTTGTACACCCTCAACTTCGTGCCCACAGATAATGAAAACATTTTCCTCGAGATTGTGGACTATTTCCTCGCTCTGTTCCCAGTTTTCACGCTTTCCACTAGTTTTCCGATCATCGCCATTACGCTTAGGAATAATTTGCAAAGTCTCTTCTTGGACACGAGTCGCTTGGAGACGTACAACTTTGTTCTCCGGAAGCTCTTGTTTCCCGTGATCGCTGTGATCCCGCCGCTGTTACTCACGTATTTTCTAGAAGATATTAGCGTTCTGATAAAATTTACTGGCTCCTACGCCGGTACAGGGATACAGTACTTGATACCCACCTTCCTAGTGCTGTCTGCGAGGCGACATTGCACGAATTTGTTGGGTTTGGGCGTAGTCAATAAGTACAAGAGCCCGTTCTCGCACGTCGCGTGGGCGGTATTCGTTTTGCTTTGGTCCTTCGTGTGTATCATACTCGTGTCGGTCAATATGCTGGAAAAACATTGGAGTCGTTGACTGTGAATCGATAAAGATTAGGGTGTTTATTCACGTAACGATTAATAAAAAAGTTAAAATGCTGTTGGTATCAGTGGGTATCTACTTCTATCAAGGGTGACCCACTATGTCTGTCCTTTTAAAATAATACTTCGAAAGTAATATCCAGTAGTATTCAAATGTTGAAACCGTTTACTACAATAAAAAAAACAAGGTAGATAAGCCCCTTCATTCGTCAATGTCATTTCATTTGAAATTTTATTAATAATGAAATGTAATTGATTAACTCAACTATATGACAGTACACAGAAAAATCATTACGTTTCCCACCTATAACCAAGAGGTGTTACCAATTACCATTAATTGCCATACAATTATATTTGCTTCGATTCCCTTTAAGCCCTAAGTTTTTATATTGCTGTTATTATCAGCAGGAAATTATGTAAAAAACGTACAAAACAGTGTTCGTTTGCATATTGTGGTACGTTCGTTCGGCCATTTTGTCAAAAGCTCAACTACGATTTGTATTTAAAAGACACGAACGTGCAATCAAATTTTTCAGTATTTATGCATTAATGTGAAATGTCTTCCCCGCGTCCGATATGTACAATAATTTTTACCTAGAATTGCTTAAAGATTTTCGATATAAAATCTTAATACGTTTTAAGCATTTGTAATTTATATATTTATAATACAATTTCATAGATTCTAGATTAAAAAATAAATTAAAAATTTTTTTTTTAACATGATAAATTATTTTTAGCAATATTATATTGCCGTAATTCCATGTAATAAAGTACTTATACTTATTGTATTGTTAATATAATTATAATAAATATTTATATATTTCGTACGCTCTATCGTTAACTTTTTTTGCCTTCTCCATATTAATGTATTTATTATAAGTATTGTATTATTTAGATTTTAATTAAATATCTTGAGAAATTATTGAAATTACTCTACCGACAAGCGAATTCAGCTACAGGGGCTATAATGGCATAAAAGAAAAAAATACTCATTCGCTATTCGGCTTCTTTGATAAACTTGCGTAAGGAATTAAATATATAGATAGAATTCGTTGAATTATTGTTACAATAATCTTTTGCTGTGATAGAATTACCATTTTTATAATAAGTATGCATCGTAAACAAAGTGACTGATGGTGTAATTATTTATTCAGAGTATTTTTACAATAAATGTATTTTGTGTGTTCATTATTGTGTCTTATTTTGAAAGAACTCATTTTTTATTCCTTTGTTAGACCTTCATAGTTATGGTCGCTAAGGAATTAGGTTTACCCTTATTCAGGTAAAAATAGACTAAAAATCCGTAAATTTCTAGTTTGATAACGTTTCTGCTTCATAAATCGTGCAAGGCTTTCCCGGCCATCGTTCAGCATATCATTGTCTTTCGGGCGAAACGTCGAGAACCTCTACCCGCCCACATCGGCCGAACAGCCCGAAAGATAATGATATGTTTCTGCTTCAGTCTGTGGATTTCCAAATATTCAAAGCCAAAACAAAATAATAAATTAACCCCTTGCGTATCCGTATAAACAAATCAGTTTGTAAATGTGTGATGTACAATCTTCATTAGCCCCATATGTTGGTTTTTGACGCTATTAAATATGTATGTTTGTCTCACCTTAACCGGTCTAACAGTTATAAGGATTGAAATAATTGAAAAGGCGTGAGGTTGAAGAATTTATTTTATATGTAATTGTCACTTATCGCGTACACAAGCGACAGAAGCTTTTCATAGCTCAATTGACTTTGGCATGAAGTTATATTACTTTTGTGCAAGCCGTCGCGGGACTTCCCCCGAACACTAGAAGCTTCGAACAACGTTACTCACGAATTTATTTGGGACTGCAATTTTTATTTCTTCACAGGCTTACTTAACTATCCCTAAAGAAAATAAAGGCCACATTATGAACGCTATGTAAAAGTCTATAGAGAATTGGTTTATCTAAAGTTTTTTTGTTTCTAAAACGCGCACGTTGTTTTCAATTTTTCCTATTTTTTTATTTTTTTTAACACTAATGAGATATAAGGGACGTTTTATGTCATAATCGGGCCTTTATAGTAAAAATAGGTAACAAGAGGAACAATATGTCATTGTTGTATTAGATCAAAGTAAAACGTGGTGTTGTCATTTTTGCACGCACGTGAAAAAGAGAAATAGTCTGCTCTGGTATTATAACGAATAAAAAATAATACCACACTATAAGTTACAACAGGGCATTTTAACATTTCGTTATCAAAATAAGATTCATATTGCATACCTATAGTTCATCAATAACTATAATTACAAGTGTGAGTAATTTTTAATTAACCATAATACACAATATATAAATTAACACGCATTTCATCGTACATTCAGTATTATAAATATCAATAATTAAATCATTACACAAATGTACAGGTGGCGTAAAAGAATTTTCGATTGTTACCCTATTTTCCAAGCGAATGTGCTAAACATAACCTGTACTGAAATATCGTAAATAAATCCAACGCCATCAGTACACGAGAGAAAATTATAAATAATCACATTTAAAGCCACATAACAAATTCGATTCGAAGGCAGGACCGTGCGAACCCATAAGTACACGTTGCTTCTAAATACACATTAAGTAATAATTAACGAAATAAATATTAATAATAAAAGTCGCATGGAATCGAACATTCCGGAAATTCTGCGTTTGTTGTAACTGGCTCGTGGTTTCAAAATCTAAATCAGTATTTAGAAGATGCGCAATTTATCCAAGAGGTACATCCATTGTTATGTTAGGTACCCGTCGCTAGTTACAACAGAAATAAGCAACTTTCAATACAAAATATTTGTTTGGACAAAATGCAATTCAGAAAAGTCAATAATTAATTTAGCATTGAAAGTTGCTTCAATTTCGAATCATTAAATTACTGCTCGTTTCATATCAGAACTGATATGATCGACAGACAATTATTCGACATTATAATTGAGTAATTAATTTTGAAATAATAACTAGAACGCCAATTGAGGTCTAAGATCTAATCAAATCACAATAAATACTATAGTTAATCGATCTCGAATCACCTGCAGGGTCGACTGTTTGAAATTACGTTTGTTTAATAAGTTTGACAGAATATTACTTATCCGCGGTTAGATAACAGTTCTTTACATAACCACGCTCGTTTTACCAGACATAGAGTCTACTCTATTTGTGTAACGTACTGATTCAAATGTATCAAATCGATCGACAGCCGACCCTAAAAGACGCGTGTCTGCGTGCGACCTACGCTGGAGCGCGAGACGCGGGTCACGCCAATTCATAAACTATCTAATCTTTCCATGCATTACAACCGCTATCAGTAAAAACTAACAAGTGTTGACCTTAACCGATCGAATGTTTCGAGAGTTAAAGTCGCTCCTACGTTCGTAAAAATAAGTTCTGGAAAAGTAAACCTTGAGTTCGGTAGACAATTTGATTGTCCCAGAAAATGATATCACACAGTGGCGAGCCGCGTCCCGGCGGTTCTATCGCTATTGCTACGGCTATAAGGCGTCTTGGAACTGGATTTCGAGGCGGCGCAACGCGCTGCGGAAGGACTCGAGCGACGAGCGAAGGGTGAGACAGAAGCCCCTCGAGGCCGGTATGAGGGGGTAATCCGGGGGGTCGATGTCCGTCGGCTGCTGGTTGGAGAGCGCCACTAAACCTTCGAGACGCCGGCAGAGGTCGCCGGCGGTGGTGCGCAGGTGCTGAAGTATTTCTTCGCGGAAGGGCTGTGGGGGGTTGAGCGCCATCTTCGTCATCGACTGCACTAGCTTTAGGAGCACCATCTCGTTGTACATGCGCGAGTTTTCAGTGCCTTGCTGGGTCCCTGGGAATGTTTTAGATGTCTTAGTTATTGTCGCATATCCAAAGCAAAAAATAGGTCGATATTGCATCATGTTTAAGATTTATTTATTATTTATTTATTAACTTTATTAATTACAAACACCACAGAAATGGTTTACAACAATAAATTCTAAGATATTATATGGCTAAAGTATTTCACCTCAAAATATCAGAGTTTTAAATTTTAAATCAATTAAATTAACCTTTTTGCTTCTCGTAGCCAGCCTCGTTGAAATAGGGCTCCGCATTGAGGATGAGCCCCTGTAGCGAAACGATCACTTGCAACAGGGAACTGTCCTTGCCCCACACTTCAACGCCGCGACCGGACCACGTACCCAACAGAGATACGCACACCTAGACATAAAGTTCGATTAACAGAAAGCTTTATATGCAAGAGAAAAAAAACACACAGACTGCATATAGAACAATGATTTCTTGTTTCTCCATATATATTTGCTAGACTAGAGCAGACTTTTTTATTAGCAAAATCAAGTAGATCAAACCTTTCCATCTTCATACAAGTTGGGATTCAGCCTGTCACTGCAATAGGAGTGGTAGTGGCATAAGGGTGGTGCGCGGGGATACTCCCCACCTAGTTGAACATCGAACACAAACAGCCCCCCCTCGTAGGGGGTGCGGGATGGACCCGCTATCATGACTGACAGCAGATCAATTCGGTCTTCATAGCCGCGAACCCACACCTAAAATTGAGCATAAGAATAAAACTTTTTTTTTTCAAAAAATAAGATGAAAATAATAACAGACGCTAATACGGGAATACAAATAGGCAACCTAACACTTTTTTTCGTTTGGATATGCATTCGTGTAAACCAACTTTCGTCAACGGGTTTGTCTGCGAGAACATGCCTTATAGATAAAAAAAAATCTAAACTATGTCATCGTAATTGTATTTGTTATTTACACTTACCCCTGAAGGAAGATCACTCTTCAGGAGAGTTATCTCTCGCTTAACCGCTGAGTAAAAGCTCCTGGGCTCGCTGGGCTGCAGGATGGAGAGACGGAAGCGGTGGTTGGCCGGGGCAGACTCCAAGACGGTGAAGCCTTCGCCCCCCGCTGGGTTCTCGCTGTCACCCAGTGGTGTCTCCGCTTCTATGTCTCCTTCCGCTGTAGCAAGGGGAGCTGTGTCTGATGGGGCTGATCCTAAAAATAAAGGAATTTATGTACAAAATCGAAAAAAATATATTATTTAAATATATGTAACATTAATTGTTTATGCAATGAATTTTTGAAATATCATGATAACGGTAAAGACGAACTTAGCTTAAAAAAAAGAAATTTTTCGTTTTAGTGTCCGTGAGTGACTACTAATACAAAATTGTACCTATTAATAAGCTTTCTCATTCGTGGCAAGTACGAATATAAATTACCTGTACCATCCGACTTAGTGGTCGCGTTGTCTTTCCCTTCCACGCTCTTCGCCACCTGCTTTTCGATATCATCCGTCATACATATCACCAGCGCTCCATACTGACTGCAAATTATAACTTACAATCAAACGCCAACTTTATTTCAATGTCTAAGTATAGATAGAATAGCTTCTACGAGTTTATGTGAACTCAAATCTAAAATACACACTTATACGCACATAACAGCTATTAGGTTTATCTACTGTACTGTAGTATAGTTAGTAATGTACAGTTATAAGTATAGAATAGGATATAAGTTCAAACATTAAAAAATGTCTTTGCTTAAACATCGTGATCTGTCAAATTTGTACCTCGACAACTTAAAACGCCATCTTGTGTATAGAAATGTTGTTATTTTTAATCCCAAGACAAACGTATAAGGAAAAATACCGCCAATGACACTCAATGTGGGTAGATTCACAAATCAGTGAAAATGTTTATAGTTTTGGGAAATAGTAACCAAATTATGCTCTAAAGCATTTCCACTAATTTTAATTAATTTGTAGCTGCTTTATTAATTCTCCTACTGTACTCACAACACAAAATCTTTAACATTCAGGTATCGTATCATGCATGTATTAGCCCGGTTAGTATTCTTGTGCAGTGTGTAAGTACCTACACCGAGTGAGGAAGTTAGGGTCAACGGGACGCACAACTTACATTAAACAAATGTTACTACAATGTAATGGCATAACTGTTCTTTGAAATTAGAGAAATTATGATACCACTTCCAGTTACCAAATCAAATCATATACTACTAGACTACTGAATGTGCATTCCATTATCTTACGAAATCATAACGCTAAGTAAAAAATTAAATAAAACATTACTATGCTGTCTAAAAATTACTAAAGAAAAAATATAAAGAATAGACAAAATATAATAAAATCATCAACGCAGTTATAACTTGTTTGTTATGAGATAAACTCTTATATTTGTCCCATATTATAATAGTAATTTTTCGTGATGAAAATAAACCTCCTTTACCCCAAGATCCTCTTTGATACTAAAGTCATTGTATTGAACAAAAAAATGATACTGACCCGTTATAGGATTCTTAAAATATAGGAATATATCAAACAAATTGGTTTTTATAAAGAATAAATCTATGTAAAAGAAAAATTCCGACATGGCGAGAACTTATTTTAAATAATCCATCAACTAGGTATTTGTTTAATATAAGTAATGACGTCAGTAATACTTCTGAGACAACATATAGCAAGATATAACATATACACGTAGCAAGACATACTTTATTTATAGAAATAAACGGAATAGCAAATTATATAAGTGCAAATTTGAATTCTGTACATATTTATACATTTTATACACGTTGACATTATAGAAATGAAAAATCGAATTTATTATCGATTAATCTTGAATCAGACAGCGTTCCGTGCTGTTGCTTTAAACCAATTGAACTACCGTGTCCTAAATGTTATCGTCAAATTTTTTCAAGCCAACAATACATGTACCATTGCAAAAAACATTGCGCAATTTTTTTTCAATCTAAATTCAATTTTTAATTTACCATAATGGCATTTCATTTTAGAAAATTCCCCTTTATTTTATTGCAAGGCAAACAAAACAAATTAAAAACAAAGCCAAATATTGAAACTCAGCAATTGATATCGTGTTCAAGCGAGACGTTAGGCTAATTCATATGTACAGAATTCAAGAAGGACAACTGCGAATGGGTGAAGGGGAGAAATAATAAAAACAAAAGGTAAGCTCACACTGAAAAGTGGTAGGGTAACTTCTCTTCGCCCGTTACTTTCCTTATCATTAAGTTGTTTAGGAAGCAGGCTAACAGAATCGGCCTTCTCCTGCGGAAAACAAGGCTTTATGTACTCAGGAACCCCTTTGCGGGCGCGAGGGTTATTTCAATGGTTCATATAAGGTATGCTATAGTTAGAAGTTGATTTTTGATTTGAAGATTGAAGGTTCCCCCGATCGATAAATTAACACTTTTAACGGTTTAAAACACAAGTGTAAAAAAAACTTCGCATTTCGAACCTTTAAAAAGTGTTTCATTCATGTATTGCAATCGTGTAAACTACAAACTGAGTTATTTTTTTTTCAATTGTGAAAACATTTACTTTATAAACACTTTTTACTGAAATCTTAAACAGTGCATACATTATGTGAATTTCTGATGACGAATCGTATGTAAATTGTTTTAGTAAAACAGACCTATGATTAGAATTACACATCTTAGAAGCATGATCAAATAGTAAATGATTTTGAGAAGTCGCTGTTTAAATGTCGTAATGAGATTCTAAATTTATAAGAGTGATTCGACGAAATTCGAATGGACTTTATCACAACGAAAAGGCCGAACGAACGAACGAAGGAAACTAACCGGCTCACTTCGGCGTGCGCTTTCACAAGCTGAGCGTGAATGAGAGAGCAGAGCTTGTAACACACGTTGCGGGTAGGTGCGTCGGCGTCGGACATCTTTGTTGACGCTGAAATTTTAATTTAATACATATTTTTACTAATATATGATTTAATAAATTTATATTAAGTTTAATTTAAACATTTATACAAAATAGATTTAAAGTAACTAATATTAAAATATAAGAAGGTAAGATTTAATCATATTTGAATTTAATACCAAATTTTGTGCCAGCGAAATTCTGTACATACAAAAAATTAAGCTAATATTTTAAAGCTGCAGAAATTAAGAAACTGGTTGAAAATAATATTTCGCTATTAGATAGCTTTTTTAAAAAATTCCTATCTCACTGGGAAAACAATTAGATGAAAACAACGTTACTTTTTAAAGTTATAAAAAATTCTCTGGGAAAATTGTGAATTGAGTATGAGAATGCATTACACAACTATACAATTTTTATAAAAGTAATGAGAAGTATTACAACCAAACAATTAAGATGGTCAAACTTACAATTTTCATTACTAGCTGTAGCATCTTGCATGCTGATTTCTGAACATGTAGCTTGCACCAAATCCAAGTTGAGATTTAATGCAGATTTCTTTGGATTACTTAGATCCACCTAGGCAAAAAAGGAAGATATTGAATACATGTTTTTGCCCTGCTGGGCAGTGGTGTCTTCGGACACGCAGGACGGCTGACTCCAAGTCAGCGTGCTGCCTCCAAGGTGCAAAGGAGAGGCGCGGAAGAGACTTCGGCCGCTTAGGAGAGCTGCGACTTTGCTGCGGCATTTTGCTTATTATTATCAATCTATAAGCAATAAGCTTAAAATACGTGAAGACTGTAAAATGAAACTTGGCCACAAAAGGAGAGGCGGCGAGTTTCTTGCCAGTTCTTCTCGTTCGTTCAAAGCCCTTGATTTGAGAACTCGTAGTAAATGTAAATTGAGAGTGTTTAGTTTCAACTGATGTGAGATGTGATAAGTATACCTAGTTACCTACGCGAATAAATGTTTTTGACTTTGAATACGAATCAGTAGCCTTACATCCATGGGTTCCTCTTTCTCCGTGACGTTAGCTGCCACTATCGGTTTGCCGTGCTCGCTCGTGAACAGGTCTTCAACGCGAGCATCAGCTGGGGTCTCCGTTTGAGATTCGGTCGCGAACAGTCTCGCTAGTTGTTCGTGAACGCGGCGCTCACCAGCTCTCGGTGTGGTTGCACCGCGTTCTTTCACACGTTCTATGAGACCCTGGTAACAATTTCGGTTTTACAATATGTGGACAAACTATTAAAGTGGAATAACGTATCCCCTTGGGGCGAACAATTTTTGGGTCACTTTGTCTGATTTTTATTTACAGGGAATTATTTTATCAGACGTCTGCCCTGCTTGACTGAAACTGTTTATTGTTTCCCCGGGATTCGAAACCGGGACTTTTCGCGATTAACGCAATGACAGACAACATGTTACCGTTTTGCTACAACTTGTTAAAAAAATATTCTTTAGTTTCTTCCCCCCCTGTCGTGGGTGTCGGGCACTGAAAAACGATACGTCACCGTCTCTCTTATGTGCACAAGTCAAGTGCTTTCATTCAAACCGCAAGCACTCTTTTTTGTTTCAGGACCAGTATTTAAAGTATTTTTTTTAAGTTGACTTTGAATTTAATAAAAATAAAAATTATAAGAATTTGTGCACAATGCTAGATGCCCAACTACTTATCATATTGTTATTTATTCATAAGGCTTACTAACTACACAAACATGTTTTAGACTACTAAAGCTAAATACTGTCTATAGTCTACTTAAGCTAATTATAGTATGAATAAACTTATGCACAGCGTTGAAATGTGTCGAATAAAACTTGTCTGTGGTTTGTATGAGTAATACTTACTAAGAAGTGATCCTCGTGAAAGAAAGTAGTCCCCATCAAACGATCCAAGAAGCGGCAGTCTTTGTAAAGGTTTAGTAGTTTTCGCATTATCTGTGAACAGTAATGAGTATTAGGCAATTAATTCTGTCGTCACAGGGTAACGCCTGTCTAGTCCAACTAATCGTATTCTATATCCAGTGTATAATAATCTGTTTGAATGTATAAATAGCTATGTTTGCCAATTTAATGAAACTATTACACTATATCTTTCAGAAACACTAACTAGTAATGCTGGACACACTGGACACGAACCGGACATATATCAGTGTTTCTTTTTGTAACCATTTAGAGTCAAATAAGACTTCTTAAGATTTCTTTCGTTAATATAACTCTCCCCCCCCCCCGCCCTTTTAATTTATATCGAATTCACCTCCTGGCTCTGGAGCGTGGGATGCTCTGCAAACATCTGCTCCAGGCGTCGCATTGCCACCCGCCCACGCTCTATGTGCGCCGCCACCCGAGGTTCCAGCAGCCGCGGCGTCAATTCTGTCTTATTCGAACCGACCGCCATCAGATTGAGGGGAGACTCCTCGCTGTGGGGCACTGTGAAATCTACTGTACTGTTAGTGTTGAACAAACACATATTCTCTGTAATTATATGTTATAAATTAACAGACTAGTAAGACTTTTAAATTTAAATAAAACACTTGAAAACAAGGAGGAATCTTGTTTAGATGTTATATGGCTGGGGTATTTCGCTACTACCGAATGACACCTATGCTGAAGTAATTTCGATACAAAAGCTCATTTTTTAGGACTGGCGCGTGTATAGTTTGCCTTACATTACATGGACTTCATTAACAAAACTCTATTTTTATATCTGCAAATTGGAGAATCAAAGCAGTCTTACACATAGGAGCTGGAATATGGTCCCCGGTCGGTGCGTTTTCACCAGCCGGGGGCGTCTCCGGGGTGCGCGGTTCGAACTCGTGCGCAGAGCTCTGAGTCTCCCACGAGTCCTCCGAAGCGGAACCATCGGAGCCCCAAAGATCTCCATCTTCCGAGTCGTATTCTCCTACCTAGTGATTAAACATTTTCTATAAAAAGTTAATTTTGTTAGTTACATAATACGAGACGATAGTGCAATTCGTTATATATTTTTTAAATTTGGGGTCTGCAAATAATTTGCATCATAAAAACTACAGAGTATTTAAATAAAACACTTAACGGTTTAAAACGCGATATATATTAAAAAATGACATGTGTTAAACCCATTTTGTAAATTATTTTGACTACGGCGCGACGTTAGGCTGCTGTGCAGCAGTCGTGGTCACAGGGAGACCATAATTTGCCAAACAACTAATATTTATCGCGTTATTAACCGTTTGTTTTATTTAAAATCGCGTAAACTACGCCCAGTATTTAACTACAGAGGATCTCGTTCATTATTAATCTTGTTGTTTTTTAGACTGTGTATTGTATTCTAATACTATTGTAAATCTTCATTTAATAAATAGTAAAATACCTATTTACTCTAAGTTTATTTCATTGCAAGTAGTTTAGGATTAAAAACAAGTAAATATTGCCTTATTTACGTTTGGTAGTATCGATCAATGGAACGGACACAGTAATATGTCCATCTCGTTCCCAACGTAAGAGATACGGAATTGCCACAGCATTGATTTGTATTTCTTTTTGCCTTAAGGTTCTCTGACTTTAATTATTACTTGAATGTTTTAAAGTGCATCTATTATGTTTATAGATTGGTACCGCACCTTGTATAGATCCTGTGGCCAGCACATACTCGTGTGCCCATCCACCCACCATACCTTCACGCGACCAGACGGGAAATTGTCGATAACCTGAAAAAAAATTATATTAAAGTAAACGAAAAATGGTATTGGAAGCCGATTCCACTTTTAAAAAAGGCATCAGCTTATTGTTTTATATCGCACTAGCTGTGTCAGCGACTTCGTCCGAGAGAATCGTTATTTTGGGCATCCGAATTCATTTTCGCAAAACCCTTCATGTTTTTAACGTAAAGCCACGTGTTACCCACGACGTTAGTCGCGTCCCTTCCCGCCGTTTTTGTTAATGTTAAAAATAGCGTCGCGGACTTTTTTTTTATCGTTTAAAGAGAAATCGTTCTTTCATAGATATTTTTTTTGTATCTTAAACCGTTTTCACAGCGTACGCCTTGGAAACTCATAATGATGAATAATTTTCTCATTCTTTTCATATTTCTCGCTGTATCTTCGCTTGTATTAGTCACAGGGTGATGTTTTATAGCCTTCCACGATAAATGATAATAATTCAATTTGAACCAATAGTTCATGAGATTTGCGCGTTCAAACAAACTCTTCAGCTTTATATTTTAGTATAGATAATAAAATTAATTTGTTTTAAGCAGTTTAATTAAATAATGAATCATTTAAATTCACCTGTCCAGCAGTACAATTGGCGTCTTCACCAGTGAAGTTGGCGACCCTGATTACGACGGTCCCCGGCCGGTACTGGAAGTCGGGGTGGTCCTTCAGGTCGTAAACACTCATCTCACTTTCGTATAGCATTTGTGGTCTGGAGACAAATCGTTTGAGTGATAAAATCATTATAGACCTAGTAACTTACAGAATAAGAAACACAATTCTTGTCTTTTAATGGGCTTCTTATTCCAATCTATATTAATATTATAAATAATATTAAAAAATGTTTCATGAATTGAGAAATCCATCCATGATACTTGGAGTTTATCGAGGAAGGCTTAAGGCTTTAAAATCTGCGTCTATAGGTAGAACAAACAGTGAGAAAATATTAATCTCTGGTACAATGGTGGTCACAATGTATGGCTATAATTAGCGAGTCGCAAATTAGATTTTCACTAGGCCCTATGTGTTTACAAAATTCGTTCATTTTCAAGTGAAAAACCATCGTCCATGTCCATGTCGGTTCAGTCTGTAGATTGGTCAAAGTTCAAAGTCAAACTTGACGAGTAGTACACATTTAAATAAAACACAAACGGTTTAAAACGCGATATATTTTTATAAACTTATTTGAGAATTCTTTTTAACTATGCTTTGAGGCAGTAGTCTTGACCCCGTGACCACGACTCTCAAACAAGTTTAACTAAAATATATGGCGTTTTAAACCGTTAAAGTGTTTATTCAAAGCTTAATTATATAACATATGATTGGGATACAAATAAGTAAGTGGGCGTGTAGTGTCTAAGTACGCACTTTGTGGAAGGTGAAATATACAATTTCTTGTCTGTCCAGTTATAATTTACTTTTGTACCATGTAGAGCGCTCGTAGATGGTAAATTGTTATTAGGGATATATTCAGACTACTGTAGTAGTAAATTATTAATGATTATTATTTTAAAAAACTTACACTGGGTCATCAGCGCTCGTGTACGTCCGGTACCAATGCACAATGGCTGTGCGGCCGTGGTGGTCTACCCGTTGCACAACACCATATTCCCTGTGCCTCAACTACACAGTAAACGAAAAATTATTATTAATTAGTTATTTCCAGAACATTAATAACGAAGGGAATATATACAGGTTGATTTAACAAAGGTTTCATCGGTGTCGGTACATGATGTTTTTTATTAGGCAAGGGCAAAAAATATTCTAGACACAATATCTAAATACTGTCCATAGTTTACGCGATTAGTACACATTTAAATAAAACACTTTAACGGTTTGAAACGCGATATATTAGTTAAACTTATTTGAAAATTATTTTTAACTGACCGAGGCCACGGCTGCTGCAAAGCTTCCTAAACGTCGCCGAAGTTAAAAATCACTTTAAGTTTAACTAATATATCGCGTTTTTAACCGTTAAAGCGTTTTATTTAAACACAATATCTAGTTGAAAATTCGTTAGTAAGAAGGAGAGACATTACATTCATGACAGTACTTTTGATAAGTGCAACATCATTTCCTAACCACTTCAAAAAAACAACTTAAGCATTCCCTTCCCATTGTACTTCTGACGTCACAAGCAGAGTCCAAACTGTATTTTTATACAACTCTAATAATCTATCTATGTCAAATGCAGGAAAACAACGCACTATTCATTCTTATATCAAACAAGTATAGCGATGATTACCTGTTGGTTCTCTTCAACATTAGCAGCGCCGTTGACCACGAAATCTCCCGGGAAGCATTCCTGCCCGTCCAAATGATGTATCGGGTACAGCTGAGTGGACGGTATGCCCATCTCGATTGTGCCGTCCTAAACAAACGAAAGCTAGTGATATTGAGAATTGCCACAATGTAACAATTATATGATTCTCAATTTCATTGCATGTTTGAATGCAGTGAACTTGGTCTGGTACCAAGCACCAAATTTTAAGCCATACCAAAATTATTTTAATATTAAGAATCGATTAAGACTAGAGTTTAGACATAACTATCCAATACAACATGTATTCTATATTTTTTAAAAAAATTAAAAAAAAAAGGGGGGGAAAAAAAAAAAAAAAAAAAAAAAAAAAAAAAAAAATTTGGGCCCGGGGGGGGGGGGGGGGGGGGCCGGGACCCCCGGGCGCCGCGGCCGAAACCCCCCCCCCCGGGAAAATTTTTTTACAATTTATTTTCGATTTTTAAAATGTATTCTATATGTTTATTATTCTTATAGGCTACAGATGTTAATTTAATTAATAATACATTGCATAAGGCTCTCGAGCACAACCACTCATTATAAAATAAAATCCCATTTCCATCCGTAGGGCATGGGGTGAACGCATTTCTGTGCCTATTTCACTAGTAGGTATTATTTATAGGCAATTAGTAGCAAGAAGTTGATCTGACTTCAGTGCCTCGCCCATCTAAGCATCTGATGTTTCCCCGCGCTTAGCCCAATGCTAGGCAACACATTAAAGAAATGGTTAACGTGGTGTTTAGAATAATTTAGAATTTCTTAATAATTTTAACGAATATATATCGCGTTTTCAACCGTTTCATTTAATTCTTAAAGTAATTAGCCCTACCTGCCATACAACGTTAGCTCTGCTACTTGTGTGAAGTGTTTCGACGACGACTCGTTCATTTCTGCGGGGCGGGGGAGCGGGTGGAGCGCGTCTTGGGGCGCGTTTCAATCGTTTGCCGCGTAAAAGGCGCACCGCCAGTTGTGGGGAACGTTTGCCCCTTCCCGACCCAGACGCAACGGAAGAGCAACGCGACGACCATGTTGCTCCACTGTAAATAAACACTTTTGTGTCAGAAAATTAGTTACAATTGTCTCCAATAATCTAATCCGTAATTTTGGGGGCCCGTTGGTTGTAATGGTACCATTGTATAGAAAATCAACGGGTAGCGGGTCGATTCCCACCCGGTCCAGTATTTTTCTAGTGAATTTATAATTTTTGTGAGACATGTTAGACTCCGTCTGGAATGTGGTTATTAGTGGTAGGAATATCGAAATTCCGCACGATCCACGAACCACTGCCTCTTGAAAAGCCATTGGGTTAATCGCGGTTCGGTTTCAGGACGGTTATACGAATATCCAAAGCTAAAATCGATCGACAGCACATCTTGTTTAGATGTTTAATGGCTGGGGTACGTATTTCAACAACCATCAGGTGGACTTCACGATTATCTGTCCTCTATCGTAATAAGAAAAATAGCTATAGTGTTGGGGTTTTAGACAACAAAATATTTTTTTTGGGATGTGTTTGTTATAAGGTTACAATACAAAAACTGGCTTCAAAAAAGTGAATAAAATCATTTTCCTAATCCTGGCCAAAAATACCCACAAAGTTACATTAACCCAGTTTTATTTGTTGCCTAAGGTTTTATATTTTACTAGCAAGATCACATACAAATGTGAAAAGAGTTTCACATAAGGCACATTTCTACCTGTCTGTATCGCTGCCATCGCTGCTAGTGTTCTCCCAATTGTCAGAATCGTCATCATTAAGTTGTTCCAGAGATCTTTCACCATTTAGAAGACTCCCATCTTCTTTTGCAGGTTCAGGGCTGTAAATTCCATCAGAGTGCTCTTAAATAAAGCATTAGCAAACACAGCCACAGAGACATGTCTATTTCCAATTGAGAATGGGAAAATTATTTTAAGGTCCCACCTTATCCCGGAATCGTTTTTCTCCTCAGCTGCATTATCTTCCAAGTTGTTTGAGGCTTGACAAACATCTCCGCTGGGCTCAATCTTGATGCTGGGGAGGTTGGCCGCAGCTGCCAGAGCTTCATCTAGATCCTTTTTCATCTTATCATAAGCTGCATCAATGTCCATATCATTCTGAAAATTTGTAAGACTAGATATAGACGGTACTCTTTTTCTTCAATTATTATATACATATGTATTTTCAATGTCTAGTTGCGTTTCAAATATAATTTTTTTAAATTGTAAATTACATCAGTAACACTTGATTGTACACATCTTAAGTTGATAGCATATAAGTAAATGAAACTTTTGATATTGACACCTGCTTAAAATAAACTATGACGTTGCGCATGCTCATAATATTAATATTAAGTTCATATCAGTAAACCAGTTTTCATCCAAATGAATAAAAGTCTTATAAAACGAGAACCAAGTGAAAGTTTGGGTCATAGATTTCCTGAAAGTTCTAGTTTTAAAGCGGTTTAAAATGTTATTGATTGCTGTTACTGCAGTATTGCAAATTGGAAACGTATACTTAGCAAGATCTCACCTCGCCAGCTTTAATTTTGCGATGGGTGGAGGCCCTCTTCTTCGGACGAGAAGGTAAGTGTTCTGCTGTGGTACCAGTTTTTGAAGACTTTTTCGATGGTCTTGTGTATTTTCGTAGGTTCCTAAAGAATTTACCTACAAGAATATTTATATTTACTACTAATTAATCGCAATATATGTGGAAACCATGCTGAACTTCAGATTCCATACCTAATAAATTTTACATAAAGGTATTTTTCCATAAAAATGGAAGGCAACTTCATACCAAAAACTGTATTTTTTTGGATTAACCAAAAACCTCTTCAATAATACAAGAGAGACTTACTCTGCTGTTTGCGCCATTGTCTCTTGCTTATAAAGGAATCTTCCGGGCCAATTGTTAGAAAATTCCTATCCCCAGCCTGTAGGGTGCATGGCTCGAAGACATTGAGCAGTTTCAGTCTCTTCAAATCTTCACCTGAAAGACATAACTTGTGATTATATTTAGTCACTCACTTTTTTTAATTTTAAATCAATTTGCTTTTCACAGTTTTGCGTGTAATATACCACTGTAAGGGACAGATTTCCTTGCAGGGAGAGGGAGTTTAAGAGCTTAGACACTGGTACAGAGCAGCTGGGCATTTTAACCACTACAGTTATTAAATTAGGTATGACCATCAGCTATAATAATAGCTCTACTCTAAGGCATCCCTCCTGTAAGTGTTATAACAATATGCTTATTTTGGATGTATCGAATCTCTGACCTCGTCACTATGAATCTTAGCCCCAACAAAAGATATAATTCTTTCTGAGCTAGTGTCGATTGCACTAAGTAATAACCAAGTGAAACAGTTCTGATCTCTCTCTCTTTCTCTCTCTGAAATCTTTATATGGGGCTGATCATAACATAATAAAATAAATACAAATGTTTTAACTTTTGCCGATTGAATTTAGCAAATATATTAAGCATAATAAATACTAGATTATTATTAGATAGACATTTATATACTTTAGTCATAGAACAAACCTTCAACGATAAACTTGGGTTGTTGGGGCAGAGCAGAATCAGCAGCGTTAGTGCACAAAGCTCGGCACTGCCAGTGGACACTTACACTTTCAGTGATGACCGATTCCACTGTGAACTGTATTTCAGGACTATTTAGTAAAATCAGTATTAAAAGAATTTTCTTATATGGGGCTCTATTGTTTGTACAAAGCTACTACATATACATGCAGTCAAGTAATTTATGGTAGGTCAGAATTGCCTTAAGCTGTGCCCTACCTAACCTATTGTTAAAGTCACAATGAATAATATTTCCCTTAGTAATTAAAGCTATCTTTAATTCCTGAGGGAAATATCAATTTTATCCAATGTATTGAAGAATTGACCCGAGTAATTGTTTACATTACACAGAGCTTTTAGTGGAAAACAGTGAGTTATCTATTTAAAATTTCAATAGATTATTTATTAGATTTTGTTTAAAAAACATATTTAAATTTAAAATGTAGAATAGAACTGATGGATTCATGAAGATGAAGTAAAATTTAAAACCAACCTTGTGATCATGCATCTTGTGTTTCCTGGCAGCTTTCATTTCCTTCGTCATGTTCAACCAATTAGCATTATCTAACGAACCCAGGGGGCCATACACCACTTGTCCTGGATAGAACTCTGATGATGAGTAGGGTGTTGCACGGCGACGACGCATCGAGTAGTCCTCTAATGGACAAGTGTCAAGATCAGGATATTCTAGACGGGATCCATCAGATGACACTAGGCGTAACTTGCTGTGAACAGTCTAAAAAAGGTATGTGTATTTTCAGTAATGCCTTTTAGAATTTACATTTTTTAAATAACTACAATGTTTTATGACAATTTATGTAGCTACCTACATTAACTTTATTTAAGTTGCTTTTTACATATGTTATAATGATTTTTATGCAAAGGAAATGCTCGAATAAATTTCTTGCTAAGTAAAGTGGTATGCGACTGAAACCAACTCCGCAAGGAAATTGTCACGCCTCATACATTCAAAAACCTTTTAGACTCATTCTCTAAGAAATTATAATTTTCACGCATCAGCTTAGGCTAAGTAGCTCAATACCTAATAGTACTAGTTAGCACTGCAAGTTATTCACGCAAGAAAATCACTTAAATGACATGTATAGCTTGCTTCAGCATAATATACAGCTCTCAACTAATACCTATTTGTTTTAAGAAAGTTTCAAACCTTGGAAGTTCCAACCCACGAATCAAGGCACACGGCAAGATCTGGAGTAAATTCCTCTAATGGTTGCAGTCTCTCGCTAGCAACATTAGGTATAACATGCTTGGTCCCAACAATCTGCAAAGCTGCCGTCATTTCTATATCTCTGCAATAGCCCCTCTGTGTATCCTTGCCAGCTATTAAACGTCTGACAACATCACCGGGCATCAAGGAACGATCCGCAAGTCCAACCTGTAGAAGAAAGACCATATGATTTTCTATAATTAAAATTGTTACTTTTAGTAAGAAAAAAATAATATTAAATAATGTTTTATTACAACTAAAAAGTTGTTACATAAATGAAGGTAGGTGACAAGTGAAAATAATTGGCTAGTTGAAAATTTGAAGGTAGGAATTTGAATTATTTTGTTTGAATAACGGATGAATAAAACATTTTTATAGACACTAATGCATTGTAAAATTTTTTTTTTTTGCTAAGGCAGGCAGTAGACGTTCAGTAAACGTGTTGGAAGGTTTTTGTTAAATTAAAACTCACCGACTTTTCGGACACCACCCGTTCAGTGCCGGAAGGGTGCCATACAACGCGAATTTCTCCTTTTTGAATAGGAGTTTCCATGTCACTCTCTTGGTCGCTAGAATTCGCTTCATAATTCTCGAGAACCAGACCGAAGACGACTTGACCGCGGTTATTGATTTTATACACTTCATCTTCGTAGAAATATTGAAAATCAGTTGGAGATCCTGGATTTTGCCCCGCCATGTTGACGGGATTTATCTAAAGACACAAATAATTTTGTTTTTTACGTGATTAAATTCTTTCTGACAGCTGATTGTAGTGTGTGGCGCATGCGTCAAATTGAATTCTAAAACTCGAGTAGTGTTGCACCATAATAATCTAGCTTTGATCGACTTTCGATTTTGAATCGATCATTATGCCACGATTAATCGATCATAAAGTGTAAACATTAAAATTCTTGTTTGTGTTTATTTTACAACGTATATGTATTGTATATTATAATTCTTATTTTTTTTTAAATACTCTGTAGCATTTATCAGCGTGTTAATAAAACTTATGTCAATGCCTTTTGTGGTGACAATATTTCAGATTTTAGTATTGAATAATTATGTAAATAAGTAAACCATCCATATTTTTTAATTAAAATCAGGCAGGATTCAACGAAAAAACAAAATACGTTACTTCCATAATACATCGTCTGTAAAAGAGTTGGGACAAAGTGATCAAGTTTTCAACAAACTCAAGATTATCATAAGAAATTAAAATGACCTTTATAATATCTTTCCTAGATACATACGTATATGACCTATTAATTAGAATTTATATTCGTATAACTACTGAATAATGGAATACTTATCCCATCTATACGTTATGTGCCACTGCCGTGACGTTAACGCGAGTTAGCGGCAGGGGATCTCGATCAATACGTTATCATCGCTATGTGGGTGTTTACATGCGCGTAGTACCGTGCTAACAGCGCAACGATAATACCGTATGTGATAACACTAATAACCGAATCGTTCCCGATTTATTTGTGAGATGTGATAATGCCGCTACCGGAACTCATCAAGCGAGCATCCAGTTACTTCCTAGGCCTCGAATTCGAAGACGAAGAACCACCTGAATACGTTGACAACGAAATCTTATTCTGCAAGAACAATGTCTGCGTTCACCCCCCGACGATCGCGAGGCACGAACTAGACATCGTACACCACCCGGGCTACTTAACCATCACGACGAAAGTATTCACCGACCAGCATAACAATGCTAAACGGCCAACGCTATTCCTCAATTGGATACCCAATTCCACTCTCAGAAGGTGCCCGTCAGCTGTGGAAACGAGTCCCAGCGAGGAGCTGTGCAATATCAATCGGCCGTCACACCCGAAAGATATTCCCGATCAGAAACGTAGGAACGAGAAGGCCAGGAAGTATGATAATGCTTTCTCTGACTCCTCGGAGACGACCAGCCTAAACTCGAACTCCGATAAGCAAAGTATTAAGTCTTGTGACACGAGGTACACTCAAAATGATACTCAAGAAGAGTTAACATCTAGTTCGAAGCCGACAGTGAAGTCAGCTGATTCCATGAAAGATGATGTGTTCGTGAAAGATGATTCGAGCCAAATCCTCGATAGTGAGAAGCACGTCCGTTCCCAATCAATGACGTCAGTAAATATAACAATAGCTAATCCAAACATCGAGAATGTCGACTTGACCCCGGACTCGCTCTCGGGAGGTTTTGTTAGGTCACTGTCAATGAGTTCATGCGACGAGGGCAATCCTAATTGGATGAGCACTCCGGAGTTCCTTGCCCTGAAGCATAACTTGGTGTTCCCTGAGAGTGTACAGAGCTCACCGGCACCGCAGCGGCGGGCTCCACTTAAATGTCGAAGGTGAGATTGTTTCAACATACCATAACATACAGAACCATCCTTATTTAGATTAAAAATAAGGATGGTTCCCTTATACCTTCATATAATTGTTTTGGGCTACACTCCCTAACAAACCCGTTATCTTTTGTATGACATCTTTCCATCGCGTTGTTGATTTGATTCTCCTTTTCTGCCATGGATAGCATTCTGTTCTCTATTAACTCATCACACGTCTTCTATTATAAACCTTCTATTTATTTATAATCCAAAGAATGGATTATACCGCTATTTTTATTCCTAGCACACCGATTTTTTTGTTTATCCCCCGCCCCCATTTTTGATATTCGCATACGGAACGATAAAGAAAGCTTTGCTCTAATTTCCTTATTAGATTTTGTATTACTTGTACTTTGAAAATGCGTTACTAACTTACGTATTTCATGTTAAATTGGATGATGAAGGTGCTTATAAATGATGTTAGTACTTGTAGCGATAATTACTGTTCCCGTTTATTGTAATCACAGTACTACCAGCTAAGTAATTTATAACTACAATGTATCAAATGCTTTACCAAAGCCATCATGATGAGACTGAAGAGTCCAATATAGACGTCCCGACATTATCTATATTAATATATAAAGTTGAAGAGTTTGTTTGTTTGAACGCGCTAATCTCAGGAACTACTGGTTCGAATTGAAAAATTATTTTTGTGTTAGAGCATTTATGAGCATTTATTACGCTTTCTAAATAAATGTAATAGTAGCGCTGTTGCTAATCGGAGCGAAGGAACAGCGAGAAATGTTGAGAAAACGGGGAAAATTATTCATCCTTGTGGGTTTCCATTGCGAAAACGATACACAATACCAAAAAAAATGTAAGAAAAATATTCCTCTTTAAATGATATAGAAAAAGTCCACGATACTATATGTCTATCTTCTAAGATTAACTTGCAAGAAAGACGGGACGCGGATGACGTAGGTAACAGCTCAATTTATTGAGTTGAGCAGGGGACTTGCAAAAACAAAAATTGATATCCAAAATAATTGTACTAAGTTGTCCTGACTGAGGTATATTTCGCGTTTTAAATCGTTGAAACGTATTTTATTTTTATTTACTGACACCACAGTCAGTTGACACTTTAGAGATCAACTTTTTTGCTCGTTACATGTTTGTTACGTAACATTTGGACCAAGAATTTATTATAAAAGTCTAGTCTACTTAAGACAAGTTGCATTCTTCAACCATTTAGGTACATTCAACATACCTTGAGCCACGTCTTTCATCGATCGTATATCAATCGCCAAATCGATAGTTCGATTCTATTAAATGCATTAAAAACTTCCAGCGTAACGATTGATAAAACCTAATAAGAATTAATCGTCTTGGTATCCCTTTGGTATATACTAATATATATAAGTATATATAGATTTTAGGAATTTACTCCAAGATCCAGAAAACTCATTATGATAATCACTCGCATTCTCTCAGCTCCGCCTCGACAATGGAATGCTGTAAAAGTGCTAACTAAAGCTATATTTTTTACGTGTACAATTATGTTGACAAAAAGCCTCGGCATTTTATTGTGTAGGTTTTTTCTAAATCTAAATAGACTTATAGAAGTATCAACGGATATCAGCGAGCAGCTGGAGGATTCGTGCGCGTAGTTATTTTGGACATCAAAACCTGTTTTTGCTAACCTTTCTGTTTAACTCTAAATTTAAGCTGTTACCCGTGTCCCGTTGTTCTTCCAAGTTATACAAGATTAGAAAGATAAACATAATATACGGTCCCGGACACCTTTTTACAAAATTTAGAGAGGAAACATTCTTTCATACGAATTTTTTGTATATCTTGAACCGTTTTTGCTGGGTGCGCAACGGAAACCCACAAGTAAGAATAATTTCCCCCGTTTTTCTCATTCTCGCTGTTTTTCCGCTCCTATTAATTACAGCGATATGTTTTACAGCCTACTTGAACAAATGCCCTAACCAAAACAAATAGAAATTTTCAATTCTAACCAATAGATCTTGAGATTAGCGCGTTCAAACAGACTCTTCACCCTTATATATTCGTATAGATTTAAAACACTTTATTTACAAACCATGTCTGTATTGCATATCTTTTAAAATTTACAAACTATCAGAAACTGCAATAATAAAAGAGCACAAACGCAATACCTACTTGTTACCGTACTCGCCTATAAATAATAATAAAAAAATATCGACAAACTACAAATATAAAAAAAAATCCTTTTTCCATTGTCTTATAAATATACTTAATTGTTATTAATATTAACGATTGAATAAAAACTCTTAGTGGCATAATACATAATTTGTTTCAACTACTATATAGAACATAAATTACTTCTTACTTCGTTTAAATTCCTATCTTATATTTGTAAGAACGTATGACTTATGACCTTTTGCGCCTACTGCTGTTTAAAAAATCATTTACTCGTACCACAATAGTTGCCAGCCCAAACTCGTTTTATGTCAAAATCATTATATTGGGTATAGAGATAGTTACTACAACTGTGAACTAAATTTTTACTTCTTCACTATATAATAATGCGCCAATGATTATCGATGGTTATATTTTAGTGTATCGTTACGCTTTGTGACGCCGAACGTTTTCTTACCCCGCTTTCATAAATATTCATGTTCAAAAAGAAACACTTGTATTGCCGCAATTCGCGATACTTAAATGTGTCGTCGCTTGAATTTGTTTACGTAAATATTAAAATGACTTGCATTATTAGCTACTTGCTTAAATTCATATGGGTTCGGACGAAGTTACAGGAGATGACATCAAAGAACTACAGATGGAAAAAATAATAAGATTCTGCAAGAAAACCGGAAGGTTTGAAGGGGACACGGGGAGAGTTGGATGACCCAAAACCTCTGCAAGGAGGAAATGGGGAAATGGGTGAAAAGGTCGGCTGATAGCGTGGGCTGATTACCCGGCCTACCAAAGGTGTCCCCGATAAAAACAAAATTATTATTAGCTACTTCATATTTTCGGCAAAGCTAATATAGTTTTAAATAATACACTTTAACGATTTAAAATTTATTGGTTAAATAATTTTCAAATAAGTTTAATTAATATATATCGCGTTTTAAACCATTAAAGTGTTTAATTTAAATGTGTACTACTCGCATACATTACAGTCAGTATATAGCTAATATAGACTTTTTTATTTTTTAAAATATAAGTCACTATGGAATCACGATTTTAAATGAAAAAGATAAGGTATACGTGTTTATATATTTACCACTTTTATTGCATAACATTTGACGGGGAAGGATTTTTCGATCCTAGTCAAAAACTGGAATGGAGTTTTCATACCTAGGGTCGTTTTTTTATCTATTTATTTTTCCAATCCTTTCTAAAAACTTTTACACCCAAAAAAATCCCAGGATTGTAATAAAAAAAACTTTTATGCTTAAATTGTTTTTTTTATTCAAATTATTTATTATTTTCAGATTCTCAGCCGACCTGAGTCAAATGCGTTCGCTGCGGTTGTTCTTCAATGACGATAATTGCACTTGCGGCCAGCTCGTGGTTGCTTCAAGGGAATCTCAGTACAAGATATTACATTTCCATCATGGTGGACTGGACCATTTGGCACAAGTATTGCATAGGTGGCATTCTCTGCTTCACAACATCAAACTGACACCAGGTGCTCAATAATGATATGGGAGTGATAGTTGTAATACTAAAACATTATATTGAAGGCTATTTATTATAATACATATATACATACAATAATTCATTTCGTAAATTGTTTTAGCAATATATAATTAGGTTATCCTTATAACTGACAACCGAATTCACCAAATGTTTGGTTTATAGAACAAACTTTTATATTCAGTGTTTCGTCATAACGTGTCGACGGCATCCCACAAGGAGAAAAGGCCGCCCACCCGTGCCGTGAAAGCCTTACTCAATTTATTAAACTTTTAATTTTTCTTAAATCGACGGTTAATTAGGCATATTCACTTGATGATAGATGAAATACTTCAGCCATATAACATCTGAACATCTAGCCGAAGTCCAACGTGTTTCAGAAAAATTATAAATTGAATATCTTGGACCCGGTGAGGATCGAACAAAATCAAAGAATCGTGTGATTCATAAATTGCTACTATTAAACTGACTAGCCCCTCAATGCCAAATTATTGTTGCATTATTTGTCTAATTATACAGATGAATAAAATAATTATCAGTTACAGGTTCCGAAGAACCAAACCTACCGTACCGCCACTTCATGGTATGCCGACCGGAAGTCCAGAAGTCTGAACAACACCCCGAAGAGGGCAAACCTCCCAAAATCACCCCCGAATTATTCTACGGGAAGATTATGAACAGCAAGGGTGTGATCGAAGACGATCTATTTCTACGAAAGTGTATATTCTTTGGCGGTTTAGACAAGGAGTTGAGGAGGGAGGTCTGGCCCTTTCTTCTCCACTGCTACCCTTATAACTCTACGTATGATGAGAGAGAGATCATTCTACAAATACGGACGAGGGAATATGACGAAATAACTAAGCGGAGGCTGGAGAAGATGACGCCGGAGCAGCACGCGATGTTCTGGAAGACAGTGCAGAGTGTCATCGAAAAGGACGTCGTGAGGACGGATAGGGGCAACCCGTTCTTCGCTGGGGAGAATAATTATAACGTAGAAATTATGAAGAATATATTACTGAACTATGCTGTATATAATCCGGTTTTAGGGTGAGTTTTTGTAATTATATAGGATTATTTTTGCATCAACTAAAAATGACATGTTGTAATTATATAGTGTCCTTTATATCCTAAATACCCTAAATAGGGGATGAGAGACAAGCCGAGACGAGGTTCACTTGATACTTGATGGATGGTAAAATCCTCAAGTCATATAATGTCTCAACAAGATGTGTTGTCGATTTTTGGATTTGGATATTTAAAATCCACAGACTAAAATCGAAACGCGATAAAACTTCACGACTTTTTATTTGTATTACGGTGTTTCGTGACCCGAGCGGAATTTCGATATTACTACCATCTAATAAAAAAAAGATAAATTGATTAGAAAAATATTGGACTCGGTAGGGATTCACCGCCGTCATCGTGTTATCAACGTGTTATTGCACAAAAAAAGTAAACAAATAGCATTTTATTATATATTGATACTATATTTTTTTTAAAAACACTTTAACCTCCCTTTTTTATTGAAATGAGTTCCGCCAAATACCAACTTCGACGGAACAGATGGCGCTAGCGTAGCAAATTTTTACTTTGACGTCAGAGACATCCTCCATCTTTAGTCTCCCCGTGACCACGGTTGCTGCAAAGCATCCAAAACGTCAAGCCGAAGTTAAAAATCACTTTCAAATAAGTTTAACTAATATATTGCGTTTTAAACCGTTAAAATGTTTTATTTAAATGTGTACTACTCGCGTAAACTATAGACAGTACCTACTATTTTTTACAATTTTAAATTAATTTTCAAATTGGTAGAGCAACGAATTAGTAGGTACTGTTTTATATGAGTTTGAATGCGTCAGTGCAAGATATTTATTAGACATCATTTTAAGAATTTATATTAGCTCTCATTTACAATTAATTTAAACCGTATTAACATTAAGTGAATTCCGTCAGTATGAAATTAAAGCGTCAGGATAAATACTTTCAGGTACACCCAGGGAATGAGTGACCTCTTAGCACCTGTCTTGTGTGAAATTAAGTGTGAAGCAGAAGCGTTCTGGTGCTTCGTGGGGCTGATGCAGCGGGCCATTTTCGTCTGTACACCTACAGACAACGATATGGATAATAACTTGGTAACTGGAAAATCTATCTAATATCAACTAGGTTCTTTTCTTCCTACTCTACACCTATATTTCTAGTTTAAAACTTTTTGTTTTCAAATTGTTTGTTGTCCAGCGTTTTCTCCCACACAAATATCTATATTTATTTAATTGAAATAAAAAATACTATTTATTCGTATCATGGTTTACTTAATTATAAAACACTTTATTTTAATTATAAGACTTTTTCATTCTTAGTTCGCAACTATCAAATTACATAAGCCGTTAGAACCATAGATAAAAACCACAGACTAATACAGCCATAAACATACTTTCGCATTTTATTAGCCCTTTAATTTAGTCATTAGACTATATCTCTGGTTCACTGTTAGCAATGTAACTGGTAATCAATGTGTCGTCGGGCCAATTGTACAGTCCAATGAAATCTAAAACCCTATTGCCGTATACTTGTAATTGAGTTAACATTTAGCGTTTTAAACCATTAAAAGTATTTTTAATGTTATTTTAAAAATCGAAAATAAATTGAAAAAAATTTTCGACTCGGGCAGGACTTGAACCGGCATCGTCAGCTTTCCGTGCTGTTGCTCTAAAAAAAAAAAAAAAAAAAAATTTTTTCAATTTATTTTCGATTTTTAAATTATATAGTGCCTTCATGTGCAATAACATGTGAAAAATATTAATGTTTTCAATATTAATGTTTTCAAATATTTTTAATGTTATCTATTCCACACGTACTAAATTAATTTCAGAGTTACTTGCGAGAGCTCATCAGAATTATGGTGCCACACTTCTACAAACATCTTGAGAAACACATTGACGCTATGGAGCTGCTGTTCTGCCATCGCTGGATATTATTGTGAGTTTTTAATTACATATAATGAGATTAATTAAGGTACATACATCATCGCGTATAACTACGACTAGCTGTGTCAGCGACTTTGTTCGCGTAGAATAGTTATTTTAGAAATGAAAATTTGATTTTGCTTAACTCTTTATCTTTATAGATTAAGCCCACGACGTCAGTACGGTCCCGTCGTTCTTGCAAGTCAATCGTAAAAGATAGGGATATAGTGTCTTTTTTTGGATCACTTAAAGAGGAATCATTATTTCCTACATCTATACTAATATATAAATCTGAATAGTTTGTTTGTATGTTTGCTAATCTCAGGAACTATTGGTCGGAATTGAGAAATTATTCTTGTGTTGATTAGAGCATGTAAGGAGGAAGGTTATAGGCTACATTGCGCTAAGACTAATAGGAGCAAAGAAAAAGCGGGAAATGTTAATGCTTTAACACACACAAAAATAATTATTCCATGCGAACGAGTTGTTAGTGAACCTGAGATTAACGCGTTCCAAAAAACAAGCAAACGCGTCAGAGATTCGTACTTATAAATAAAACACTTATTGGTTTAAAATGCAAGTCAGTCGTATTTAGAGGACATTTAATCCAAGCTTAAGCTTAGCTTACTCACTTTTAGCCCTGTATTATAACTATGCCAACCGATTTAGTACAATGACCTCTTCCAGATGTTTCAAGCGCGAGTTCACAGAGGCCGTGGCCCTGCGCATGTGGGAGGCCTGCTGGGCGAACTATCAGACTGATTATTTCCACTTGTTCCTGTGCCTAGCCATCGTCGCTGTATACGCAGATGACGTCATCGCGCAAGATCTCAACACAGACGAAATGTTGCTACATTTTAGCTCCTTGGGTAGGTATTTACCAACTTATTACGACTAGAACAAGTTTTACGATTTAAAACGCGAAAAATATTAGTTAACTTGTTTTTTTATCTATTTTAACTACGACCCTAAGTCACAGGCGAACCAAAGATGGAAATAGTCCCTGATATATATAATAAAAAACTAATATATTTCTCATTTCGAACCATTTTTTCGATCTTTTTTTTTCATCAAATTCATTAGGAAATAATTTCATGCCGTGATTTTACAGCTAGTTAAGGTTGGGCAATTATCGCCAAACCTCTTTAAAAATTAGATACATTAGCTAGTAATGACTTAAAAGAAGAAAAGAATATTTACCTAAAAACATTTCAAATTGTATACAACAATTTCGACTTCCAAGCGAAGATAGCAAAGGACGTGACAAAGACGTAAAAAGTTTCAAGGTAACTGCATACGGTATTTTAATATAATCCCTAGTGAAGTAAAAACGCTGTCAATAAATAAGTTTAAATCGTATGTTAAACAAAAACTGCTTGAAAAGGGTTATTATAACGTAAATGAATATTTAAATGATAAAAATGCTTAGGGTATGGAGAAACCAGCTCTATCAAAGAAGAAATGTACACAAAGGAATATAAGGAAATGTAATCGAAACTTGGCAATTAAAAGGAGTGGCGGCGAGTTTCTTGCCAGTTCTTCTCGTTCGTTCTACGCCCTAACTTGGGAACTGGTAGTAACTGTAAATTTAGAGTTTTAATTTGTTACCTGTTTTGACGTTCATAAGTATACTAAGCTACCTACATGAATAAATGATTTTTGATTTGATTTGAAAGAAGAGAAGAAGAAGGTGAAGCTCCAGGCCCCTCCGCTTTATTGAGGAGATAACTTAAAAGTGCGTGTGACTTGACTTACTAACATTTACATTACATGCATTGTGATTTCTTTTCAGCTATGTATATGGACGGTCGTCTAATACTTCGAAAAGCCCGCGGCCTCCTCTACCAATTCCGTCAATTGGTCCGGATACCCTGCACTTTAGTTGGAATGTGTCAAAGATGTGGCCCAGGCATATGGGACTCGACACATCGGCCAAATGTGGAATGCACGGGCGCGCATGACTTCTGCGAATACGCTGTGCAGTAGTCCTATGATAATTTTCCATTTTTCTAGTTGCGTACATTGATTATACGTTATATGTTCAAAGGAAATTCGCACAGATAAACGTGAAAAAATCACTAAAATTAACTAATTCCAGTTGAAGTAGTTACAAATAACATTTTTATTGTAGTTAACTAGATGTTGCACAGTTTAAACGGATTAAAACGTGATTTTGTTATATTTTTAACTGGTGGAACCTCGAAAAAATCCGTTAAAGTTGTTTAACATTATAATGTACTCAAGTAAACGGTTAACATTCACGTTTATGTAATTAATTAAAATCTCTTGTTAAAATTTGCAAACATATAGAATCGTAGAAGGTTATAAATTGTTTTTAAAAGTTACGTAAATATTAGTACAAATATCAGTATTACGATGTTTAAAATTATAAAAATATAATTTCATGGGAATTGTATGATCTGTGTTTTATATGTGTGTATACTTAGGTAATGTGAATATTTTTTGCTATGGCTTTAATTGTTTTAGGTTAGGTTGAACTAATGTTTATTGTTGGCACTTAGTTAACTTTAAATTGTATGGAATAAAATCACCATAAACCATAATTTTTATTTGACATGTTGTTAAAGATGGCGCAGGTTTTTTTTTTTATTTACATAAAGAAACTGCTATAAAGTCAATTTAAAAAGAAAATTAAAAAGCAACTCTAATATAGATTTTGCATAATAATATCTAAAGTATTATTATGGAGCAATGCTGTATAATACATTGTAAATTGGTGTATTCATATTTTGCTACAATTTTATAATAATGTAAGGTGTTTTGTGTCCTAGTGTGGGGGATAAAATTGCCTAGAAATATTTCACATAAGACCTCTTAAAAAACTTTAAGAAGAAATAACTCCACTCGAAATAAATAAATACCTTCCCGCCATTCTTACGTTAGGTAGTTTGACATTTTATCGCCCACGCAAAGATCTTTTTAGTCTTTACGACACTTAAATGTCACTATAACATCCATATCACACAAACTATTGTGTTCTAGTCATAATCTTAATGTAATAAGGTATGTATTATATCCAATTAAATGTTAATTAAGGAGTAAGGAAACGCCTTTTTAGGCATTTTCGACTATTGGCTATGCGCGGTACACGGTACCTGTGTAAGTTACATTTTCATATATCTATTATAAAATAAATGCATTTAAAGGCTTTAGTTAAAGTACTAATAGGAGTTGTATTAGGAATCGTTTGGTGTTATATAACAGAGCTTTATATTTTATTCTAGAGATAATCGACAAAAAAACATATCATTGTCTTTCGGGCTGTTCGGCCGATGTGAGCGAGAAGAGGTTCTCGACGTTTCGCCATGACGTGTGGACGGCATCATCAGGAGATGTTGACTCCTCGATTGCTCGAAGAATTATTAATTTTTCGAGCAATCGAGCTCGATCGAATTAATCGAGCAGCCCGAAAGACAATGATATTCTGAACGATGGCCGTGAAAGCCTTACACAATTTAATCGACAAAAAAGTTCGTTCGTTACTTTTGAATGAACTATATTATTGAAACACACAGCTTTATGTTATTGCTTCTGAGCATTGCGTAAATTATTTACTTTGCCACACTGTCAGATTATTTTGTTGTAATTTGGATATTATTACCAAAAAGTCATATCTATTAAGGAGACGTAATGTAAAAGTATGTGAAATGTTTTTATGTGTTTTATTTACTGTAAACCCAGGATCAGGACTTTGTGAATATAATTTTATTTTTGCAATACGCGACCACATTTTTCTAAAGAAGGTTAGCTCTATACAAATGTATGGCAAATGTAGAAGCAATTGATTTAATAGTAATTAGCTAAATAAATCTTTTTTATAAAGCATATAACCTTCGAGGTTGAACATAATTCATGTTGTAAAACTGCAGGACCAAACGCAAGTCGGACAGGTTTTTTTTAAATATATGCCGAGAACATAATATTATAACCGTTTATATTACAACTTTTTCTTCTTAGTTCTTCCCCATCGTAAATTGTACGTGTATCTATATAGTTAATATATATATCATTATGTCAAGATACAGATATGTCAATGTCAATTTCACATCAACGTCAATAACTTGAAATAGATTATTTTATATCTAAGATAGGATGATAGGTTTTTTAATTGATAGTGGAAACTGGGGAACGGACTGTCTTATTACTTCGCTGCATGTTAAAGGATACTTCTACAATGCAACCATTTGAAATGTATTTCACAAAGAAGGAAAATTTGTGTGGTGCCTACAATATTCTGCGTGTACACTTTACTGAATACATGACGTACTTCATAGACGTGAATTGCTCGAGTATATCGTATATGCGTAAAGTATATCATCATATTTCAAACTAGTTATAATGATTAGTCGCTTAATTTAATTAAAGAATGTTAAAAACCTACTCATTACACTTACAACAGTCAACACCCATTTCATTATGTAAATGAATTTACTACTTGTTACTTATCTAACCTTGTTTTTAAACCACTGAACTGTCTGTTTGAATTCAAACCAAAACAGTGTTCGTTTCTTATCGTAGTTTAAATTTTGCCTCACCTTTATGCCCTAATTTAATAGGGCAATATTTTGTTAGACACTTTAGTTATATTCATGGTGACTTTTCGTTTTTATTTCCTTACACTAATATCTTTCGCGATGTCGAAACATCTTGCCAAAACTATGAAAGCTGTTGGCTTTTACAAGTATCTGCCTATATCTGATGTGAACAGCCTCATGGATATAGTAGTAGGTATTCCAGTTCCAAAAGCGAATGAAGTTCTAGTTGAAGTTAAAGCTACAGCTATAAATCCAATTGACACAAAGCTAAGAGCTACTAAATCTCAAATTGAAACAGAGGCAAGGATTTTGGGATTTGATGGATCTGGAATTATCACGGCCAAGGGAGACGCGGTCAAGACACTTCAACCAGGAGATCATGTATTCTTTACTGGCGATTTAAGAAGGAACGGTTCCAATGCACAGTATGTAGTACTAGATGAAGTACATGTTGCTCATAAACCTACCAACCTTTCATTCGAGCAAGCAGCTGCTATGCCTTTGACTTCAGTGACTGCTTATGAATCTTTATTTGACCGATTATTAATTAATGAAAAGGATAAAGGGAAGACGATTTTAATTATTAATAGTGCTGGCGGAGTCGGTTCTATTGCAAGCCAATTAGCCAATGCCTACGGTTTGAAAGTTATTGGTACAGCTTCCAGACCTGAAAGTGTGGACTTTTCAAAAGCACATGGTGCACATTTTGTTGTTAATCATAAACAAGATTTGGAGCAACAGTTAAAGGAAAATGGGTTTAGTGAAGTTGATTTTATTCTTGTTAACTATGACCCATACAAGTACTGGGATAGCTTAATGAGGATTATAAAACCTCAGGGCCGTATTTGCCTTGTTGTGGACAGCAGTGGTTTGGTTGACTTAAAACCTCTAAAAGCAAAGAGCATCACTTTGGTATCAGAAATGATGAGCACTCGTATAGTGTATAATACAGATGATAAGTATAGACATACTGAAATTCTGGAAGAGGTTTCGAGGATGCTTGATAGCGGAGAACTCAAATCTACATTGACCAAAGTTATAACACCAATTAAAGCTGACACATTACGTGAAGCCCATAGACTGATTGAATCACAAAAAATGATAGGAAAGATTGTACTGTCTGGATTTTGAAGAAAATATATTTGTTCTAGTCTTTATGGTTTATATAGGACGTTGGGATTAAATTCTTTTCCTTTAAATGGGGATCCGGGCATGTTCCATGCTTTCTTTAATATCTCTATGTTGCGAATTTCATCACTGGTTGGTAGTCCTTTCATTTTCTGTTCTTGATTCCATTGCAATTCTCTTACCTATAATAAAAATAAAGACTTACATACACACACTTTAATGACCCACATTTATGGTGAGATTTATTCTTAAATATAAGCTTGTATAAAATATATATAAATGAAATTTCGTTCCTGCATTAAATTAAACAATTTTATTTACAGAATTAATTACATTATCAGAAATCTAATCTGTAACTAACATCATGTTTAACTATATAGCTAACATGGTAATACATCATTATAAGTAATATGTATTCATGAAATACCAGTACCTTTGCAATGTGATCTTCAGGTAACTCATTTAATGGCCTTGAACAGTCAATTTTCCCCAAATCAATAGGTTCCTCATTCTGTAAAAGCCTGTCCCACCAACGCTCCTGAACTTTTTCTAAAATAATATATCATTAGATAATGATAATATAAGGCAATAACTGTGTCCCGCTAATCAAAAAATATTTTCCTTATTTTTGACCAACAACACTAATTATTAGTATAAAGTTTGAGTATTTTACCAATTTGTTGCAAAATCTGAAACTACATTCATGCAGTATATTAATAAAATACTAGGTATACTCAAACTATAATAAACCACAACACAGTATTTAAATCAGCCAGCTCAATTATGAGGCGTTATTCCCCGTAAGCTTGAATTTTTAATTTTTAACGACAGCCTAAAACCATTTTTTTTTATTTCTATCAAATAATTCCTCACCTAAATGTATCATAAGGCTGCCGTTACTGTAACTCCAGACACTGTCAATTGTTTTAATTTTAAATGGGAATGAATCCCTAATAATAAAGTTTTGTCCATTTGCAACAGAGATGTCACCTGAATTAATGGTTACTTTTAGTTCCTTGGCCGATTGGATATGAGATGGCAGCTTTATAAAGGCATCTGCAATAAAGGTTGCATAAAGATATACAAGGGGTTATTAATGAATTACATTTAAGAGTAATTTAAATAAAACTCTTAACTGGTTTAATTTAAAAGCATAAACTACAAACACGATTTATTCATAAGTAAATTAAAAGTGAAAAAGTAATTTGTCAGGGCAAACACAATTTTCTGTTTGCCCTGGCTACTTACTAATTGTTTTTATTTACGGACAAATACTCAGTGATCAGATGCCTGTACACTGCCTAACCCAAAAGTATACCACTGATTTTTAGAGATGGTTCTTTTAGTAAGAGTGTGTTGAACTTTATTATCTACTTTGAATCCTTTTATATATTATACTACTTACTCAGGTCTGTGATTGTCTGTGACCAAGTATATTTTTCTCTGACTGCCCCATTATACGATTCACTGTCTTGTGATGGAATGATTGGAGGTTCATAATCTTCTGGAATAATATGCTTTTTACTGGCCGTTTGATTTATAGTACTATCGGATGAGCTTATTTCTTTAATTATATCGTCTTTAGAGCAATCAATAGATAATTCACTGTCCTGTTCATCTATTACTTCCACCTCTTGAGCGACGGTTGAACACATTATTTCATTACTTAATTCTGCTTGTTCACATTGCGAGGGCTGCCAGGATTTAGGGTCACATTTTCTTAATACTTTAATTACCAGTTCTTCAGCCACACCAGGAGGAAAACCCATATTCTCATATTTACCGTCTGGCACGTAATAAAAGTCGGTACTATAAATTAAAAAAAAAACATGCATAATTAAATTTTGAATATAATGGTAGAAATAAAATTAAAACTGATTTAAACTAGTAAAGTACACAACATTTTGAACTCGTCTACTGGAATTGGGAAAAACCTACAAGTTTTTTCTATATATCCGTTGTTAACTTTATAAAATAAGCAACTTTATAACTAACACCAATTATTAGTACATAAGTAATTACCGTCTAGCAAGAAAACCGAAAATAGCAGAAAGGAATCCTATAATTGACTTTTCTTCTTCCAAAACTGATATTAGCATTTGATCATACTTTTCTATTTTACTATCCATTTCACTTTGTTTTACTCTTTAAGAATTAGTTAGTCAAGATATATTTTTATTGAATTTATAATAAAACATAACAAGAGCTTGTTTTGATTAAATGGTTTTTACAGTACAAGTTTGAAAAAATGTATAAACGAAGTTTGACAACTGACGGGTGTTAATTGACATTTGGTAGAAAATAAAGCAAGATTAGTCACCAAAAAATATCATTGATGGCTTATCACCATATATAATATATTAGCAATCAAAGTAAAATACATAAAAAAGAGATATTAAACTTATAAAAATATCAAAACATTTTTTGTAAGAACTAACACAAAATCACAATTATAAAATTATATACTTTTAAAAATTCATCAAAACTGAGGTATAAGGAATGTAGGTTTTAAAAACTCGATTACTCAATATTTCTTTGAAATGTCTCAAAGTGTGAATCTACTAAATTGGTAGATATTTTATAAAATGGTATCACAAAACCGGTTTATGAGTCGCATTCCGACCGCTTGGTGCGCTCGTACATTTTCTAAAGTTTCACATCCGCAAGAGAGCGGCAAGGCAAGTCACTACTAAGTAGGCGAAGAAGTCTCGCGCGCGAACTCGGTACGCTGCAGGCGATGACCGCATTCATATGAGTTTTTTTATTATTTCGTGAGAGTGCTGTCGTGTTCCCCGTTGCATAAAAGTGTTCACAAAAATGCTGTATAGGTGAACTGAGCCGAATAACAGTGTTGTGATTGTGTTACGTACTTCGTTTTTCCCTTTATCTCAAATAGTTTCTTGAAGGTTGTAGAAATGCCTTGCTCAGCGGTAACTTTGTCTATAGCGACTATTACAGCTATCGTGGCTGCTGCCTTAATGGCAATAGCGTTTTCAACAGATAACTGGCTGTATGTGGAAGTGAGACGCAGTAATATACAGGTAAATATTTGAAATTCGAACGGTTAAATACTTACTTAGTCGTTTTAAACATATTAAGTAAATAGTTTTATGCGTGGGTGATTTAAACTTTTAAATAAAACACTTTAACGGTTTGAAACGCGATATATATTATTTAATATACCTATATTGCATTTTAATATTTTTTTCAAATCTGTATTACAAGCGTAAACCACAGACAGTATTTAATTTAAATTTGTATGTTAAAAAGTAAAGAAAAATCACTTTATTTAGGTAGGTAGTTTCGTACTCAAGTTCGTTTCGAAATCAAAGACTTCAAAAAAGAAAAAGAAAATATATAACGACCTCTAGACGATAACTCCTTTTATCTAACAAAGTAAAGTTTTAATAATAGGCAATTTGATAAATTGAAGTAGGTAAAAACGATGATAGAACGTCATAACATTTCAAGTCCTGCCGAGCACACCGTTAGTCAGACACGTTATGCATAAATATGCACGTATTTATGGCACGAACGAAATGGAATAATTTTGTGCGGGTAACTGTTTACTTCAAGATTCACTGGAACAAGTCTTTGGTAATTGGGTCTTATTGTGTATTAGTAGAGCGAGAACGAGTTACTACAGTTTTATGCAAAAACGAAATACCTACACATACTTATATGTTTTATCTGTGGTCATGATGTACGAACTTCTTTGTTGCAGGTTTAAAAAAAATAGCTCATAAATTGCATGTCTATTGTTAAGTTTTGTCTGTCAAAGCTTTGCTTAGGACTTAAAGCAACTATGTACCCAATATAGAAGGCGTCACTATAATTTTAAGAAAAAAAACGAATACACAAATTTTCATATCTGTGGTCGTAGTTATTTGATGTATTAAAAATGTAAAAAAAAAAAATTTCAGTTTATATATTAAGTACCTGATTTAAATTGTACGTTGTTATGGGGCAAATAAAAAATATTAAACTATGGATAATAGATTCATGGTTTCCGCTTATTAAACGTTTGAGATTCTTCACCTCGGCCATATTAAGTTTTTGTTATGTGTGGAGGTGCGTTGTAACTACCTGCGTACAAAAACCATTCTACCTGCAAAGTATCTAGCATTTTGTTAAGTCTGACATTAAAACTTTTCGGAATTTCAAATGTTAAGTCAAAATTACGTAATTAACTAATTTCTTATTGTCATACTTATCATTAGTCCTTTAATTGCGCTTCATTACGAGTTACTAGAAACCTAATTAAGATTATTTAATTATATCCTAATCGAGCCTATTAGATATTACGTAATGTTTCAATATATTTGATATAGTTTAGTCATTCAATTTGAATAAAACAGTTTTAACGGTTTGTAACGCGAATTATATTAAGTAGTTATTTTAACTGAGGCCCGGATTCGTTTCGGATGCTTTGCAGCACTCGTGGTCATTGGGGACCACTCACGTGTTCTACACTTATATTCGATTCGATACAAACTCAGCGCTTAGCATCACGATAACATACTATAGCTACACGACCTCTAGTAAACTAAACCTCGAAGCTTAATGCGACTGTTGCATATTAGAATAATTTAAGTAATTCGAACTTAGTAAGTCTTTCTTGTTGCATGTTTCTATCGTAACTACTGTAGACCTCGACTATGTGGTAATAAACACGACACCGTATGATAGGTATGATCTTGTTTTTTCGACAACATTTGGCACTGCGGATAAAACTAGTGCCTCCATCGCAAACAAGTTGAATTTAAATACACGAGATAAGAATAGACGCTACACCAACATGGGTGTGGAAAGTTTGAAATTGATCGTGAAAGCGACGAAATGTCTGAGAAATTCTGTGAAACACGCTCCGTCGGCCATACCTTCTGTTGTACAATCATTTAGGCGATGTTAATGCGCGTATTTGCATATTTAAAGTCATTCCATGAGGAAAAAGTGAATTTTAAGGCGAAAATATAGTGCTTAACTTATAATTAAGCATTTAACGCTGAAATAGTTTAAGTTTTTAACTTAGAAAACATTTTTAACGCTTTAAAACTCGAAATATGACGGAGCCCGATGTGTAGGATCCTATACCCTCAACTATCAGTTCGCTCGTGCGACTGCTGCAAAGCATCCGAAACAATAAAAGTTACTTAATATATTTCGCGTTTAAAACCGTTAAAAGTGTTTTATTTAAATTTTGACAGCTCGCTTAAACCACAGACAATTCTTTTAATTTTATACAATGTTGCACAAACTTACTCTGGGGGGCAATTCTTAAAATAAAATTATATAAAGCCTATGTCGATTACTGCAATTTGTATAAAAGAAGATAGGAAGTCTTTGTTGCTCTTATATTCTTTTTAATTGTCTCTTTACAAGCTTATAAAGGACATGTAATTTTCGTAAATCTCTTTATTTTTACTCTAACTTAAACTAAAAATTTGATACTGAAGAAAACTTTACATACAAATTATTAAAATAAATATACATGCTTATGGTTTAAATTACATTATCACACAAATTTATAATCTGTAAAATACTCAATCTATTGTAAACTCGTAAAGAGGAAGTCCATTACTTTCTACCTGGCAACCGGATGTACAAGTTAAACATGGATCCTTTGAAATCCTTCTAAATAAACGACCACAGATAAATAAATTGTTGATTTGAATTTTAAACAAAACTCAAGGACAGCGTAGATTCTTGTAGATCTGCTTTATCTTTATTAGCTTCGTTGCCCGATTTGGAATACTACATTTTAATTTAAGGTAATAGGATTTTAATAGGAAACAATATTAAACTACTTTACGGTTATACTTATTTATATATCGTACCGAGTTTAGTTGTTATAGGTCTGGATGTTTCCTTCCATTAAGTGAACCACACGTTTGTCGTCCTCCTCTATCATTAAAAGAAATACTTTGATTAGTGAAAATTGTTATGAGCTCCCCAAAAAAAATCTTCTCTTTATTCTTTTTTATTTTTACCCCCCCCCCCAATTTTAAATTTTTATTTTAGACTCAATTTTAAAAGTAATATAAATTAATAATACACATTGAAGATCATATATCAGTAACCAGTAAAGTATATATACTGTTTATAAAATCAATAAAATTTGTACATCCATATTTTTTAATTCTTACCCTTCCAATCTGAAGGACACAAAAAGTACTTCGAAAACCCAAAAATCAAAACCTTGTTACAACAATTATGTTTAATACTATATTGATTTACTATAGTTACAAAAAAAATTAGGAGTGGAAATCTTTCTTTTCTCGTATGCAGCATTTTAGAAGTCCATTTTAAAAAGAGGGCGCTAAAATGCTGCTTCTATCGGTGTATATACTTATTACCAATATTAGCACACAAACACATTCGATATAGTGATTATGTACCATGAAAAAACTAGTTAATCAGTACAAAATGTTAACGGTGCATGCAATGTAGCGGATACGGCTCCTTCAGGCATCACTGCGTAATATGTGGCTGAAAACGCGTTTTCCGCAATTTTAATTGTCATATATGACTAAGTCACTCGACGCCCTGAAGCGAGGATAAAAAAAATGCAATATGCGCATTGGGCACGCAAGTTAGGTCATACATATATGTTTGTAGTAGGCGCGAGTGTATATAAACACTTTTAACGGTTTAAATCGGCTGCCGTGAAGCATCAAAAACGTCGGGTCGTAGTTAAAGTTAATTAAAATACTTCGTTGTTGTCCGTTGGTCGAAAGCAAACGAAACAAGCCGTGAAGTTTAATCGCGCTTCGATTGGGGGTTTTCCAGGGGGGGGGGGGGGGGGGGGAACCAACCCGCCGTCCCAAAATGGACCACACTACACGATTTATTCCGAAGATTTATATCTTTAAGGTTTTATCTCTTTATAGAGAAAATGTACCTAGAACCTCTACCTTAACGTGAGAACATGATAAATGGTCAATGGTTTTACACAGTTATAAAAAAATACAAATTCACTAATACTAATTCATTGTATGTTGGGGGAAAAAAAAAAAAAAAAAAAAAAGGGGGGGGGGGGGGGGGGGGGGGGGGGGGGGGGGGGGGGGGGGGGGGGGGGGGGGGGGGGGGGGGGGGGGGGGGGGGAAAAAAAAAAAAAAAAAAAAAAAAAAAAAAAAAAAAAAAAAAAAAAAAAAAAAAAAAAAAGGGGGGGGGGGGGTTTTAAAAGAGGGGGAAAACAAAAAAAAACGGGGGGGGGAAAAAAAAAAATTTTTTTTTTTTTTTGGGGTTTTTGGGGGGGGGGGGGGGGGCTCCCCCCCCCCCCTGAAAAAAAACGGGGGAAAAAAAAAAAAAAAAAAAAAAAAAAATTCAACCATAGGGGTTTTCGAGGCGTACATTGCAGAAACCTAAAAAATAATAAAAGATGATCATGAATGAGTCATCTTTAAATGGTCTAATTTAAGATTAACTTGCAAGAACGACGGGAAGGGACGAGACCGACATCGTGGGTAACAGTTTAAGTTTACAAAGATGAAGAGGTTTGCAAAAACGAATTTGGATGCCCAAAATAACAATTCTCGCAGACAAAGTCACTGGCACAATACAGTACAGTATTGTATAAAAATATTATAAAACAAACAGAGTTATTCGAAAGTGTTACTAATCTTGTCCAATCATTAATATGATCGCCTTTCACGATTGCTTACGCGTTTCGATTTTCCGGCCTTTCACTTAAAATTGATAGTATTGGTACATGCGTAAACAATCAGTGTTATGTAAGATGCGTCTGCGCAATTAATGTTACTGTTTTTACGTATTGTATCTTTTTACTAATCTGTAAATAAAATTGTAAAAAATGCACACTAATTACTATATAACTTAATAAATACGCTTTATTAGTATATTTAATAACTTATTTATGCTGGTAGGTCATCTTAGGTTCAAAAGGAAATCTGAAACTAAAACATGAATATTAACTTATATAAATATAATCTTAAATGTTTCATAAACATAAAGTAAATACTTTATTTTAAAAGCTAAAGAAGCCCGCCCTATTCGGCACTAGCTGTGTCAGCGACTTCGT